GTAGAGCACCTGCCTAGCAAACATGAGTTCCTGAGTTCAAACTCCAGTACTGAAAAAAAAATCAATTGTGTAGCCAGACATAGTGGTACATGCTTGTAATCCCAGCAGAGACAGAAGGACTGTGAGTTGGAGGACAGCCTTGGCTACATAGTGAGACCCTGTCTTTGAAAAAAAAAAAAAAGCATCTATGTGCTTGTGGTATTTCTCCCGAACTGATTCATCATGTATTTCTCAAGAACCCACTTGTAGATGTTTGTAATTGGCTACAAAGATCCTCCTGGCTAGTGTTGCCCTTAGCCAAGCACTAAGCCCTTTGGAAGGAAAATGAAGTTTTTTGGATCATTTCCCTTCTTGATGTGGGCCCATGTATTTCTCAAGAACCCACTTGTAGATGTTTGTAATTGGCTACAAAGATCCTCCTGGCTAGTGTGCCCTTAAGCCCAGAGCACTAAGCCCCTTTGGAGGAAATGAAGTTTTTGGATCATTTCCCTTCTTGGATGTGGGCCCCAGCACATCAGGGTGTGGGTGCAACTCTCTAAGCTCTTGGGTGACATGTTGGCTAGCTAGTTTAGTTATATGTTCTATCGCAGGGTTAAGAAGGATTAACAAGTAGACACAATGGAGACTCAGTCACAAGGGAAAATACAACCTGGGATTGTAGTGCAGAGACCTGCATAGGATCAGAGCACTAGGACTCTAGTCACCTTTAAACTCTTCTCCCCTTCAAGGGTTCTAATATTGTAGAGAGAGGGGAGGGGGTTTCTGGTTGTAGAGTACAGGAGGGAGATTGAGGTCTGAGCGCTCGGATTTCATATTGCACCTTGCTTCTGGGGGGAGTCACAAAATTCCACTGAGAGAGGAGTTGCCTATCTCAAACATAACAATGTCTTCTTTGTTTGTTTGAGAGTCACAAGGGAAAATACCACCTGGGATTGTATGCAGAGACCTGCATAGGATCAGAGACTAGGCTCCAGTACTTTAAACTCTTCTCTCCCTTCAAGGGTTCTAATATTGTAGAGAGAGGGGAGGGGGTTTCTGGTTGTAGAGTCAGGAGGGAGATTGAGGTTGAGGCGCTCGATTTCATATTGCACCTTGCTTCTGGGGGGAGTCACAAAATTCCACTGAGAGAGGAGTTGCCTATCTCAAACATAACAATGTCTTCTTTGTTTGTTTGAGACAGGGTCTTGCTGTGTTGCCCAGGTTCATTTTGCACTTGCAGGCTCAAGTGATCTTCCCACCTTAGCCTGGGAACCATGTTTGACAATAATGACTTCTTGCTGGGTGCAGGTGGCTCACACCTCTAATCCTAGCTACTTCAGGAAGCAAAGATCAGGAGGATCATGGTTCAAAGCCAGCCCTGGCAAATAGTTCATAAGACTCTATCTTGATAAAAACCATCACTAAAAAGGTGTGGTGGAGTAGCTCAAAGTGTAGGCCCTGAGTTCAAACCCCAGCACTGAAACAAACAAAAAACAGTGACTTTTTAAGTCTTTATTACATCACTAGTGTTTGATTTATTTGTTAATAGTCCAAAACCAAAGAAGCACTCCTCCCTCTCTAATTTTCACAGGGGCAATCTGAGCTCCAGTCTCCAACTGGAACTTACCAAGACTTGGCAAGAATTTTAGAAGTCACCTTGCTTAGGTCTGTCATTTTATAAGGGGAAAACTAAGGCTCAGGGAGGAAGGGGAGTGGAAGAGGGGAGATTTTTGCAGTTATAGTTAGATCATGGCAGATTTTAGCTCTTCTGGATTCCAATCCTGGGCTACTTCTAGATCATCGGGAAAAGGACATAGGATTCAATGACATTTGAAAATGATAAGTAAATGGCAAAACACACAAATAAGAAATAAATATTGAAATTTTAACATTAGTGGAAGAATATGGGCTTTAGTCAGGACCTGTGGTCACCTTAGATAAGTTGTTATCTGAGTCTGTTTTCTACTATATAAAATAGGGATAATGATTCCTCTCTTATAGGGTAGTCAAGAAGATTAGTGATTGTACCTACCAAGATTCTAGTGGGAGTAAGTGCTTAATAAGAGCTTATCTCTATTCAGTACTTAAAAATCATCTTAAATCTCATTCAATTCTCACCCAGTGCAATGACATGAATTATTATAATGAGCCTCATTTTATCAATGAATGACCTGAACCCAGATAGAGCTCACATTCTTGAGTTCTACCCTTCTCTCCTTCCTAATCATCATCATCATCAATATAAAGTCCATTTTTTTTTGGTAGTACTAGGGGTTTGAACTTAGGACTTTGCACTTACTAGGCAGGCATTCTACCTCTTGAACGGTACCTCTATCCTTAGAGTTAGTTATTTTTGAGATGGAGTCTTGATTTATGCCTGAGCTGGCCTGGCCCACAGTCCTACTATTTGTGCTTCCTTGTGTAGCTGGGGATGACAGGAACATGCCACTGTGCCAACCACTGGTTGAGATGTGGTCTTGCAAACTTTTTGCCATAGCAGGCCTTGGACCATGATCCTCCTGCTCTCCTGAGCAGCTAAAATTTTAGGCTTGAGCTGCCGTGCCCAGACAAAGTAGAATTTTGCATTCATAGGCTATGTATTATTTAAGGACAATAAAGCTGACTTTATAATACAATCTTTAATAATATATTAATATAAAGCAACATGCCTTACTTGAAATCACTTTTGAGTAACATCCAAAGAATGAAAAAATGGTTCAAAAAATTCCCAAGAGAGTTGGGAAGATAATACTATATATTAACATATACACTTTTTTTTTTGGTGCTACTGGGGTTTGAACTCAGGCCTATACCTTGAGCCACTCCACCAGCCCTATTTTGTGTTTTTTTATTTTGAGATAGGGTCTTTCAAACTATTTGCCCTGGGTTGGCTTTGAACTTCAATCCTCCTGATCTCTGTCCCTTGAGTAGCTAGGATCACAGGCGTGAACCACTGATGCCTGGCTAATAATATGTGTGTGTTTTTTTTTTTTTGGTGACACTGGGATTTGAACTCAGGGCTTCATGCTTGCTAGGTACATGCTGTTACTGCTTGAGCAACTCCACCAGCCCTAATATGAACTCTTTTCCTTTTTTTGGAATCAGGGTCACACTATGTTTTCCCAGGTTAGTCTCAAACTCCTCAGCTCAAGTGATCCTCCTGCTTCAGCCTCCTGAGTACCTTGGGACCTCAGGCACTAGCCATCACACTCAGCTATATAAACCTTTAGTAAAATTTTGTGTATGTACTGGGAATTAAACCTAGGGCTTCACTGCTACACAAGAGCTCCATCACTGAACTATACCCCCAGCCATCTTGATGCACTATGTAAGAAAAATGAATTTTGGAATCAGATCTGGGTTATAATCTGGACTCTCTCTTTAGCCTTTCTGAATTAGTTTTCTTATCTATAAAACTGGAATGACAGGAATATCATAGTGATACTAATATGACTGGTTGTGATGCCCTGCAGGTTAAGTTTGTTTGGTTCTTGTCCAGGGTTAGTCAAAGAATACCAACCCCAGACAACAGGTTAGTAGCAAGCAAGAGAAAGTTTATTGAAGTACAGGAAGACAGAGCACCTGAACAGGTGGGGTCAGAAAGACTGAGTCATACCAACTGCAACATCTAGGGGGTTTTACTTGGTTCTTAGGGTAGGGTTTGCAAGTTCTTGGAACCAGCTTTCTGATTGGTTGGTTCTAGTTTTGGTTTCTTATAAACCAAAGGTTGGTTTCTTGATTCATTTTTTCTTTTCTTTTTTTTAAAATGTAAAGTGGGAGAGTTTATTGAGGTAGAAAACAACAAAGTGGGAGAGTAGAGCCCTGGAGCTGAAGGGAAAGGGGTCCCAAGAGAAGGTGATCTCATTTTTTTTCTTTTCTCCTGAGGTTGTCTGTCAAACTTTAACTGCTCTTGTTCCCCTTTCACACCTGGGCGACACACTTATGGGGAGTACTGTCTGGGTCAACATCCTGCTGTGCTTTCTTGCCCTACTTTTGTTCTCTGGTTGACTTCATTCAGCTGCCTCTTTTTTTTTTTTTTGACGGTCCTGGGGTTTCACGGTTGCGTAGGTCAGGCGCTCTACCACCTGAATCACTCCACCAGGCCAGCTGGCTCTTTCTAGCCTCCAGCCCTGACTGTCTAAGGTCAAGCTAGCTCCTAACAATAGTACTGGTTTTAGAGTTATACCAGATTATACTTGTCAAAGTACAGAAACTGTCACCAGGTAACCACTTAATAAATATTAACTGTCTTTTTTCCCTCCTGGAGTAAAATGGAGGGGAGATAAAGACTAAGGATTCTCTACATTGGGATGTTACATTCTGATTGTACCTCAAGGAAAAATCGAGAGGAAACCAGGCATCCTTTTTAGGCCACGTATATCAAGGGCATCCCCTGCACAGGATCTTCCTTGAAAGGACACTTTTCTATTTTTTATCCAATCACATCATCCCTCTTCATCTCTTCTTTCTGTTACTCCCACGCTCAGCTCTCCTGAACACTCTTTTTATTTTTTTTGTGCTACTGGGGTTTGAACTCGGGGCTTACATCTTGAGCCATTCCACCAGTCCTTTTCTGTGATGGGTTTTTTCTTGGCTTTTTTTTTTTTTTTTGTAGTACTGGAGTTTGAACCCAGGGCCTTACACTTGTTAGGCAGGCGCTCTACCGCTTGAGCCACTCCACCATCCGAGTGTGAACGGTTTTTCGAGATAGGGTCTCGCTAACTATTTGGCCGGGCTGGTTCCGAACCACCATCCTCCTGATCTCTGCCTCCTGAGTAGCTAGGATTACAGGCGTGAGCCGCCATAGCCCGGTTTCCAGCACACCTTTCCAAGTCCCTTATTTCTCCCTGGCTCAGGGCCCTTCCTCCCTTCTTCATTTCTTGTTCTAATTTTTCCGCCTTTGTCGCCGTTGACCAATCGGGTATATAATTGTCTCTTAGTTGTGCTGGAGCAAGTACTGGCCAATGACAGGTCGGCTTGTTTTGGTGCCGAGGGGCAGCTAGTATTCTCAACGCTGATTGGCTGGAGTGGCCCCAGTGAGAAAAATGGCTGCGAGTACCTCTGTGGCCGTGGTGTCGGTGACGGCGGCCGCAGTGCCCGACCTGTCCACCAACGCAGATTTCTCGGATTTGCGGGAAATTAAGAAGCAGCTGCTTCTTATTGCGGGCCTTACTCGGGAGCGAGGACTGCTGCACAGTAGTAAATGGTGAGGTGTCGGGGTTGGAAGGGACCGGGCTTGGATGCTCGGCCTTGCGGGCCGGTCCAGCTGATGGAGGTTGTGTGGGTGTTGCAGGTCTGCGGAGTTGGCCTTCTCCCTTCCGGCGTTGCCGCTGGCAGAGCTGCAGCCCCCGCCTCCTATTACCGAGGTAAGGGCATCTTCACATCTCCCGAAGGGATGTGCAGCGAGAGGACTGAGCGCCGCGCTACTGGAAGGCAGCCAGCTGCTCAGCAGGCGTGTTTGCAGAGGGAATGCAAAACATTTAGGGAGTTGCGCCTTGTCAGCAGCTTTATCCGGATGGGTCTGTTGAGCTTTGAAACGCTTGGTGATGCTCTTACTACAACTGGGGAGAAATAGAAACAATCATTGCTTAAGATGTCAGCCTTTTAGGTTTTGTGGCTCAGCGATACTCGTAAGGATGAGATGAATCAAAGTTTTTACAGCAGCGCAAAACTATTTTTACACTGCCTTCTGATTGGCGTTGCAAAATGGTTAAGTGTGTGGGCCTTGGGTTCAAATCTCGTAAAACTAGTGAGTTTGGACAATTTAGCCTTCTGAAACATAGTTTCTTTATCTGTGAAATGAGGATTATATCTACTTTGTGAGATTATTGTTGGAATTAAATGAAGCAAACGCACCTCATTTAATACTCTTACGATTTTCAAGTAGATTTGCATCTATAGTTGTCTTTTTTTTTTTTTTTTCCTTTCTTTGAGACAAGGTCTCGCTATGTAGTCCAGGCTAGCCTCGAACGTGTGATCTCCTGTCTCTGCCTCCTGAGTGCGAGGTCTTTTATTTTGTATATTTATTTTAAATTGCTGTTATTATTATTATTATTGGCAATCCTGGGAATTGACTCAACGAGTGCTGGGATTCTCCGTATGCCCCACCATGCCCAGTACCAGTCATGTCCTGTACTAGTAGCATCAATGTGGGCAAGTAAATTATAAGTGACAGCCTTCTCTTCTATCTATAATATTAATAGTTGTTGGGTTTTCAAGAACATTAAATAAGACAATGAGAGTGAAGCATACATTATTCTAATACCAATCTTTGAGTAAATGTGATTTATATCTGTCATATTAACTTTTACTTCCCTGTGTCTACTTTCACAGAGCCTAGGAGCATTGATGGTCCTGAATAAGATAAAACATTGTTGAATGAGTATATAAAGCAGAGTGCCAGGTGACAAATGGAACCTCAGTAAATACCTCCCTCTAACAGGAGTTTAGATGATATGCAGGGATTTTGTAGACATTTCAAAAACCTAACCATTATTGAATTATTAGAAAGTGTTAGTTATTGGTTAGTTTAATAGCTTTCAACTTCTTATGAAGTGTGCTGATTTTTTTATTTAGCAGCCTCTTTGCTAATTTGTTGGCTATTTAGCATTTTCAGGTCTTCTCTAAGGAGTATACCTGAAAAGACTCAGAGAAACATTTAAATCTAATTTTCTTGTTCTACAGTTTGAACTAGAATAAACCTTAAAACTTTGGCTTTTTTTTTTGTGAGACTGGATTTTTAATTCATTGCTTCACACTTGCAAAGCTGGTGCTCTACCACATGAGCCACTTCTCCAGTCCATTTTGCTCTGGTTATTTTGGAGATGTGGGGGGGTTCTCATAAACTTTTTGCCTAGACTGGCCTTGGTCTTAAACCATGATCCTCCTCATCTCAGGATTACAGGCATGAGCCACTGGCACCCAGCCAAAATTTTGACTTTTTCACTAGCCTTTTATTTTGAAAAGGTACTTCAGGGGAAAATAAGTTCTCTGGCCTTCTCTGGTAATTTATAAAAATGCTGTGTATATGCATCTATATACATATATGTTATGCTTTTGGGAGGAGAGAAATAACATTTTTTCCTTTATCTTGAAATTAATATGCTTCTTATACTTGAACTTCGGTTGTTCTATTCATAACCACTTGCATAAATTTGTCTCTTGTAGGAGGATGCCCGGGATATGGATGCTTACACTCTGGCCAAGGCCTACTTTGATGTTAAAGAATATGATCGGGCAGCACATTTCTTGCATGGCTGCAATAGCAAAAAGGCCTATTTTCTGTTTATGTATTCCAGATATCTGGTGAGGGCCATTTTAAGATGTTACTTTTTCTTCAATGAAGCATGTGTATTTAGAACCAAGTGGAAAAAAATTAATCTTTTAAATAGTTTGGCAGTGGGCCACCAAATGAATGTACTTTATTAATACTTAACAGTAGTAAGAAATTATGATAAGTTTATGATAAGTAAAGTTTAAAAAATAATGACATGGAAGGAAATATTCTTAGGAATGACTAATAGGATAATTATTTGCTTTAGGTTATATAAGGCTTTTCATGTCTGTGAATTAGTTTTATTGTTTAAGAATTAAGTGACAAGCTAGGCCTGGGAGGCTCATACCTGTAACCTTAGCTACATCTCCAAAAATAACCAGAACAAAATGGACTGGAGGTGTGGCTGAAGTGTTAGAGCACCTGCTTTATAAGTGGAAAACCCTGAATTCAAATCCCAGTGTCCCCCAGACCCCCAAGAAAGAGTATTTTTCTTTTCTTTTTTTTGTGGTGGTGGTGGGGATCAAACCCAGAACCTTGGATATGATAAGCACCATGCTGTACTACTGACACCCCCAGACCTAGGTCTTTTCTTTCCTTTTATTTTCTCTTTTGTCCTTCTCTTCCTTTCTTCTTTCGTTCTCTCCTTCCCTCCTTTCCTCAAGTTGTTGCCCATTTTTTTCCACTGCATAGTTACTATTATTTCACTTACAACTAATGATCAATCTGTGGAGATATACTTTAAGGCCATGCAAATATCTTGCACTTCATAAAAAGTTTCCTCTAAATTTAATATCTATTGTTAATTCTTGCTGCAAGCTCTTTACCATGATATTGCAAAGTGTTTCCCATTCCAGTACTGTCTATATTTATTGTTCACATTTGACATTCTGCTCTTATACAATAGCCTCCCTTCCCTTCCCTTTTTTTTTTTTTTTTTTTTAAAGTGGTACTGGTGTTTGAAGTTAGGGCTTCGTGCTTGCAAAGCAGGCTTAAAAAAAGCGACACTCTTACCACTTGAGCCACACTTTCAGTCCATTTTGCTCTTTTTTCCCTGACTGTCCTCAAATCTCACTCCTGGTTTCAGCCTCCCAAGTAGCAAGGATTACAGGTGTCAGCCACCAGTGCCTGGCCCTTCCCCATTTATCTATGTAGCAGCAGGTGGACTCATGGATTCCTGTGTTTTTAATTGTTTAATTTCATAACTGTACTTAACAATTTTGTGTTCCAGTTATCCCAGATTTAGCTAGTGGGAACCCCTGAATGGTTGTTTAAAATTAATGACCAAAAATAGAGGAAATTTAGTTGGATTTGGGCCGTTGAGGTAGAATCAGGTGCTATCCTCAAGTTCTAGGATAAACTTAAAAAAAAAAAAGACCTATTTGTTGATTTTCTCTTACAGTCTGGAGAGAAAAAGAAGGATGATGAAACAGTTGATAGCCTAGGTATGATTTTTTTTCTCTAAATATTTTGCCTTAAAAAGTAGAGTTTCAAACTTAAATGCCTACCGGATTTGGGCTGGTAATATGAATGGACTGAGGAGCACTGTTGTACATTGTTGAGCACATGGCTTATCTTAGCTGCCTGGTTGTCAGCCAGCTCCAGCTGAGGACTGCCTTGTGAGAGTCTGGGCCTGCTGTTGTAGGGCTTTCTTTCCTTGACCCCTCTGTTTCCTACAACCTGAAGTTGGAATTTTAATTGACACTTTAGATTTTTAAATGTTGATACAAATTCAAATAAAACAAATGTGTGAACCTAACAAAATAGAACTGCAGATCCATTATCACTTGCAATTTCTGGAGTAAAATAAGTGGATTGTGTAAGATGTCATTGGCCATTTGTGAGTGTTTTCTTGAGATTTCAGGGGTATTTGGGTTGTTGCTAATGGGAATATGTACATCTTTGAGAATGAAAACCAGCATCCTTTCCTTAGATCAGAAACTGTTTCCTTCCTAGGTCCCCTGGAGAAAGGACAAGTAAAAAATGAAGCTCTTAGAGAATTGAGAGTGGAGCTCAGCAAAAAACATCAAGCTCGGGAACTTGATGGGTTTGGCCTTTATCTGTAAGTTTTATAGTAACTTGGGACTTTCTATAACATACTCTCTTTAGTAGAAGGAAAATATAAAGTATTAACCTCTCCTTTTTTCCCAGGTATGGTGTGGTGCTTCGAAAACTGGACTTGGTGAAAGAGGCCATTGATGTTTTTGTGGAGGCTACTCATGTTTTGCCTTTGCATTGGGGAGCCTGGTTAGAACTCTGTAACCTGATTACAGACAAAGAGATGGTAAATTGAGATGAGCTATGGAAAAGTAGAAAAACCTTTGCTACAGGTCTTATGTAATCTGTAATAATGTAATGGGGAATGGTGTTGTCAGCATGACCTTTGTTTATAACTAGCTCTTTCCTGTGTTTCCAGTCCCAATCCCTTTCACTGTTTTTAAATTTAGATTTTTTTTTTTGCTACTGGAGTTTGAACTCAGGGCCTCACGCTTGCTAGGCAGGCTCTCTACCACTTGAGTTACTCCACCAGCCCTTTTTTGTGTTGGGTATTTTCGAGATTGTTCTTAAGAACTATTTTTCCTGGGCTGTCCTTAAACTGCCATCCTCCTGATCTCTGCCTCCTGAGAAGCTAAGATTACAAGTGAAAGCCACCAGTGCCTATCTTAAAATTTCAATCTTTATTTGATAATGATTAGCTCTTGTTTAGTAATTGTCATTGGATTCGCATGCATTTATATTAGAATATTTTCATATTCAAGTTTTACCGTAGCTTCTTTTATAGACTATATATTACAGTTTCTCTACTTATTCCAAAGATACCATAGGAAAGTTTTCTCTGATACCAAGAATTGCCTTAAAACACTATGTGGGCCTGTTCTAAGAAGTCATGGATTCTCTAAAGATTTGGAGGCCTTTTAATCATGATGTATGAAATTGATTTATAAACTGCAATTATTTTTAGTACTTATTATTATAGAACTTTGTCTGTAATGTTTGTTTTGCTATTTGTCAATGGTTAATGGAAACAACATATTTCCTTTTGTTGGCTCTAAAGAGCCAAAGGCAAGTTGATTTCTCCCAGTAATGATTTGTGCTACTTCTGAATCTATGTCTGAAATCTTATCTTAGTTTACTTGTATTTGCCCATCTCTTTTTATGTGTGTGGTACTGGTGATCAAATGCAGGGCCTTGTGCATGCTAGGCAATCACTTAACCACTGAGCTACATCCCCAGGCCCCATCTCTTCTTTTCACTTTATTTTTATTTTCACCCATCTCTTAACTATCTAGTAGACTTTCATTGAAAGCTTATGTCTGATCTCAAAATACTCAAAACCAAATTTCTCATATTGCATGCCAAATTCTCTTTCTTCCTTCCACCTTGGTAGACTATCACTACTTTCTCTGTTTCTCTAGATATCCAGTCTGCTTGAGGGGGTGGGGTGGTGGTGGTGGTGGTGGTGGTGGTGGTGGTGGTGGTGTGTGTGTGTGTGTGTGTGTGTGTGTGTGTGTGTTAAATCCAGGGCCTTGTTACCTCAGAGTCCTATTTGTCTCTCCCTTTTCTTTTATCTCTCTCAATCTAGTCAGTCATGAGACAATGCCATGGTTACTTTCTGGTATATATCTCTTTCTTTTTGTTCCCTTTGCCACCTCAGTTATCATTTTAAATTCAGCTTACTTATTAAGTAATAGATAGTTTCTAGTTTTCCCATTTTTATATTTCCATTTCTAAGCTATCTTACATACTCTTTCCAAACATTTTTTTTTTTTGGTAGGATTATAAAGCAGGCACTCTACCACTTAAACCATACCTCCACTCCATTTTTGCACTGGTTAATTTGGAGATGGGATCTCTGATGAAACTGTTTGCCCATGCTGGCCTAGAACCAGCATCTTACCAATCTAAGCCTCCCAAGTAGCTGGGATTACAGGCGTGAGCCACCTATACCCACCCAATTTATACTTAAAACACAAATCACATCATTCTCTTGGCAAAAATTGGCAGTATCCTGTTGTACCCCATTTTCTGTTGCATGATAGGATCTGCCCTATCAGTCCAATCTTATTTTTTCACTCTTTCCCGGTACATAGCTTCCTCAAACCAGGGTATTTTCCTTATCTTACTCGTCTGCTTTGCCTCTACTTACATTGTCCTTGCCTAGAATGTTGTCTTCTTTTTCTGTCTCTTCCTTTCTCTCACTTTATTACTATTATTTTTAAAATTTTTTGTTTCTGTGGTGTTAGGGATTGAACTGAGGGTCTGTCATATGTTAGACAAGCACTCTACCACTGAGCTACATCCCTAGCTCTTGTTTTTTTTGTAGTGCTGGAGTTTAAACTCAGGGCTTTGTGCTTGCAAGTGTATCACTTGAGCCACACCACCAGCCCCCTCTTTTTTTAATTTAAAATAAGAATCTTACTCATTCTCTTTCTTTTCTTTTTTTTTTTTTTTGGAAGCTTATCCCACTAGGCCATAGTCCATTCTTCCCTAATTGTACTTATAAGTTACACGTATTTAATCAGATTACCTTGTATTCACTTTTAGGTGCTCTAATAAAATTTTAGTGATAAATGACTTCAGACAATAAAGATTATTCCTTGATGTTCGTATGGAGAGAGGTCAAATTATATTAAGTGTGTCCTTCTCTCCTGTTGCCAGCTGAAGTTCCTGTCTTTGCCAGACACCTGGATGAAAGAGTTTTTTCTGGCTCATATATACACAGAGTTGCAGTTGATAGAGGAGGCCCTGCAGAAGTATCAGAATCTCATTGATGTTGGCTTCTCTAAAAGCTCTTATATTGTTTCTCAAATTGCAGTTGCCTATCACAATATCAGAGGTGAGTGAATAGGACAATGAAATATGATTAAACCCTGAGAGGTACATTGTGTAGTTTTCTGGAACTCTTTATCTTCTGTTTTCAGATATTGATAAAGCTCTCTCCATTTTTAATGAGCTAAGGAAACAAGACCCTTACAGGATTGAAAATATGGACACATTCTCCAACCTTCTTTATGTTAGGGTAAGTTGCTTCTCTTGCTTGGGTGTGATTAAGGTCTTATGCTTTAATGTCCTCAATTGGAGGACATTCACCATGTACATTAGCTACATGAACAATAATTTAGAGAGTACTTTTTCATGCTTAGATCATCTTTCTTTTTTTCTCCCAGAGCATGAAATCTGAATTGAGTTACCTGGCTCATAACCTCTGTGAAATTGACAAATACCGTGTGGAAACATGCTGTGTAATTGGTAAGTTAACTACATTTTTTCCTTTTAAGATTTATCTATGTTTTAAGTAACAAATACAAAAATAAAAACAGTGTAAAGTGTCAAAGGTACTAGAATATGAAAGCTTACCATAATCCCACCCCTACGATTGGTGAACATGACTAGAATGTTTTCTGTGCACATACTGAAACTGTGTGTATTTGTATATGTATGTGTAGTTTGTTTGCAAAAACTATGCCATTCATACTGCTGTGTTAATTTTTTTTAACATATCTTTGATTTATCTTTAGCCTCTTTCTGTATCAGTTTTTTTCCTCAGTACTGAGATTTGAATTCAGGGCCTCACACTTGTTAGGCAAGTGTGCCTGTACCACTTGAGCCAATCCTCCAGCAAAGGGTAGTACTAGGGATCCTTGAGATGATTGAACTTCTGAGTTTTTGTTTTGTTTTTATTTTTGGCGATAATGGGGTTTGAACTCACAGCCTTGTGCTTACTAGTGCTCTACCACTTGAGCCATGCTCCATCCCTTTTCTTCTTTTTTGAGACAGGGGTTGTCTTGGCTGGCCTTGAGCTTACAATTGTCTTGCCTCAGCCTCTCAAGTGCTAGAATTCTGAGTGTGTACCACCATCTCTGGCCTTGGTTTATATTACTTTTGATAACTGTCTAGCATTTGGAGGTGGTGCTGCTGGGGATTAAACCTAGGACCTAAAATATACTAACTTTGCACTCTGCAATTTAGTTATATCTCCAGCCCCCAGTGTTTTTTTTGTAGACTGGGATTTGAACTGAGGGCCTTACACTTGCTAGGCAGATGCTCTGCCACTTGAGCAACTCTGCCAGCCCTTTTTTGTTATTGGATTTTTTTTGAGATAGGGTCTTGAGAACTGTTTCCCTTGGGCTGTCTTTGAACCACAATCCTCCTGAACTCTGCCTCCTGACTAGCTAGGATTACAGGCATGAGCCACTGGTGCCTGGCTCAGCCCTCAGTATTTTATTATATACACGTACTATCACTTTTTTTTTTTTTTTGAAAGTTTTAGCAAGGAATTAGTATAGCAGAATAAAGTATAGATTGGGGAATTGGGGGAGAGGAAAAGAGAAACATTTCCTGTTCCAGATTCAGGAAATGGGAACAAAGACTCCATATCACTTTTATTTAATAATTTTCCATTATAGAAGTTACAGCCAGGGTTGGGGGCATGGCTCAAGTAGTACAGCACCTACCTTCAGGAACCATCTTTGTGTATACACATTTACTTGTGTATGCTTGTGCACCTATTTCTGTGTAAGTAGATCAATGTGTGTTCGCTTTAAACTTTAATATAATTAAAAGGTTTGTAAGAATTTCCAGTCCTATGAAAATAAATGGAAGTATCTGTTTCCCTGACTATTGTCAGTGTTGACACTATTGACATTTGAGCTGGATGACTTTTTTTTTTAATCTCGTGCTGTCCTCTGCATTATAAGTGTTAGCAGTATACAGTATCTCTACTCACTAGATGCCAGTAACCTCCTTCCCTCATTTGTAACAATTAAAAGTGTTTCCAGACATTTCCACGTTTCCTTTGAGGTCAGAATCACCTTTGGTAAGAACATGGTCATATATATTTGGCCATACTGTGTGGTCTGATAATCAGGTAATGTAAATAGCTGCTCCTGGAGAAAAGCAAGTGTGTTAGTTCTAATTGAAAACAGGTTCCCTGGAGGTGAAAGGGATACCTGTTTCTGGGTCTTTGGTCACATTACATTAAAGTCTTAGATTTTTACCTTTCTAGGTTAAGATGTTATTAATAATCAATTAATCATCAATAACCAATGGAATTTCAGCTTATCAGTCATTCGATAAGTATTTCTAACCTTGGAGGAAGTCATGATGTAGAAAGGGAAGTAAACATTTACAAGAAGTAGATTAAGTCCTATGGAACATAGATTAGCATTGAAACAAGTGATCTTTTTAAGATCAGAGCACTGGTGCTATGCTTGTTTGCTGCCCACCATTTTCTCTCCTTTTAATGGTATCCTAATAAATCTTTTTCTTCTCTTAAAAAAAAAGTACTGTGAGTAAACTATAAAGTCCACAGAAGTTAGGGTGGAACTCCAGTTTATTTAGAAAACAATCCAAACATCTTTTGAGGGCTGAGGATGAGGCTTAGTGGTAAAGTACTTACGTAGCACATTCAGGGCTCTCAGTTCAATTCCTAGCACCACAAAAAAAAAAAAGAAAAAGAAAAAGAAAAGGATAGAAAAGAAAGCATCTCGAGTGTCTTCTGAGTGGCATGCACTGTGCTTTGTATTGCAGTGTCTACGTCTACCCTAATTGCTTATTGAGCAAAACTAGTAAGAAAGCAACTATCGAGGCCAGCCTGTACTACATATCAGGCTCAAGGCTAGTCTGGACTATCTCAAAAAAAAAAGGAGGAAAGTAAATTATAATATAGCAGATTGAGTGTTTTGACTGAGGTAAATAAGCTAAGGCAGTACATAGGAAAGATATTTGTATTGGTTACCTTGCATCACTGTGACCAAAATACCTGAAGATCAACCTAAAGGGAAGAAAGGTTTTAGAGGGTTTAGTCCATAGTTACTTGATTCTGTGTTTCTTGGCCCTTGTTAAAAAAATCGCCATGGCAGTGAGTGTGTGGCAGAGGAAAGCTGTTCACTTTGTATTGGAGAGGAGGTACCCTAGTTTTCACCACTTCCCAATAATCTCATCATCTTGTGAATCCATCAAGGAATCAATCCATTCCTTAGGTCACAGCCCTCACCATCTAATCTGTGTAAATGCCATCATAGACATACCCAGAGGTGCTCTTTACTAATCTCACAGATATTTCTCAATCTAATCAAGTTGACGTGATTAACTATCACAGTCTCTAACACAGTCTGAGATTAGGGAAGGCTTTTTGGAGAAGAAGATTCTTGAAGGATGGATAGCAGCAAAAATTTCAAGAAGAAGAAGGGTCAGTTTGGGAAGAGCATCACAGTACAGGGGCATATACGTTGTTTTTGAAATAGTTCATTTTGCCTGAAGCATGGTGTGGAGATAGGAATATACAAACAGGATAGATCTTAAAGAGCCTTTTTGCCTTGCTAAAAATTTGGGTTTCATTCTTAGGGCAATTGGTGTTCTCTAGAGGGTTTTAACCAGAATGATGAAAATGGTCAATTTTTCATTTTCAAAAAAATGAAAAGAGACACTACTGAGTTGATTAGAAAAAGAACATTAGAAAAAAGGCAAGAGAGACCAGTTAGGAGCTTTTGCCATAACCCAGTGTAGGGATGATAAAAGCCTAAGGTATTGAATTAGAGAGAATGGACTGGGAGACTGTGTTAGAATGCTTGCTTGGCATTCTTCTCCAGTGCCACAAAAAAGGGGTTGGGAACTGAGAATGGTTTCAGAAGTATATGCAAGGCTCTAGGTTCCATCTTTATACCGCCACAAAAACAACAACACCAAAAATAATTAGGCACATATTTAGGAAGTTATTCCTGTTATTTAGGAATAAACAGGAATTGGTGATGTACCCTTTACATGATAAGAGTAGAGGAGATAATGAATAGTTCTTTTTTTTAACTTATTAACTGAAAGCCAATTAAATTCAGAGGTGATGTACATATGAAGAATAATGATTTAAGAGTTTCTTTTTTTTTAATTCCAAAATACGTATTTATTTATTAAGAATTATTTCACTTCTACATAAAAATCACCATTTGTTCCTCATTGGGTTTTTTTTTTCCTTTTCTTTTTTTTTTTTTAAACACATCAGTTCTTTTGGGGTTGCTTTGTTTGCCCAGTACTTTATTTTTTATTTTTATTTTTTTGCCCACTGACATCCAAGAAGTTTTATTGTAATTATGCTGTGCTACATTATGGTTTGTTCTGCTATGATCTTAAGAAGAATCCTGTAAGGCCCAATACCTCTTTATGCTGAGTATCAATACATTTCTTTCTTTCTTTTTTTTTATTCATATGTGCATACAATGTTTGGGTCATTTCTCCCCCCCCTCCCCTACCCCCTCCCTAACCCTGCCCAGTACTTTAAAAAATAGCTTTTTTTAGCACCAGAAAGAGCAGTTAAGGCAGTGAAGCATTTTCTTGGACTCTACAGCTGGAGAAATTCCCCCTCCAGAGAATTCCTGTTTCTTAGATAGTTTCTTAGATTGGAAAGGTTGTCCCTGAAGAAAATAATTATGCAGAAGAATGCAAACACAGTCATGAAGGGCCATTGTCTGTGCCTGGTCAATAGCTTGAAAAGGCTTGCTGGTGGGTTTCAGCTATAAAACCCAATCTGGCAAGACAAAGAGAGCAGGGTTTCTAATGATCCTGCTGTGAGGTGGGGCTGATCAAACCACTGGAGAACACACACTAGTCTGCCTTTTTAAGAACACTGCAGTAGAAACCCTGCATAACTTCCAATCATAAACTGTTCATGGTCCTTAAAATATGCAACACATCATTTGGCGAGGTCATCATAAGGATGTGTGCTTCACTGCTGGGGCACACACTGGTCCCCAGTGAGGCTGTTGGTGTGGGGAGAAAACAAAAGAAAAAAACACTAGGACTTAATTTATTAGCAGTATTAATTGGTTTTTATCATACTGAAATGCAGGGGTACAGTTGATCTGTGCTGTTGTGAAATTCGAAGGAGATTTGGAAGGAAGATCAGTATTTATGGCCCATTAGGATAGGTTAAAAAAATGACTTTTAAGAACCTGGGGCTGGGGGGAGTGGGTGGTAAGGGAGGGGGTGGGGGCAGGGGGGAGAAATGAACCAAGCCTTGTATGCACATAGGAATAATAAAAGAAAAAAGAAAAAAAAAAAAAAAAAGAACCTGGGGCCTCCCCCTGTAGGTCTTGCTGGTCTGTGGGCCCTTCCTGGGGACCAGCTGGCTTGGTTCACAGTGATTTGGAGTTGCTTGTTCCTGCAAGTGGCCAGATGTTACAGAGCCTACACCTTGTAGTTGAGCTCAGCGTTCATCTTGTACATCTCACAGATGACATCAATGGTGGCAGTGTAGTTGACTAGGGAGAGGCGGATCTTCTCCAGGCACTCCTTCTCTGTTATGTTCTGCCCCTTGGAGAGTGCACCGCATACAGTGCTGCCTGGAAGATCTTTTGCACTATCCAGCCGTGGTACTTCATAAGGGCCATCTTGTAGGCCTTGGTGGTGTTGACGAGGTTGAGGTTGGGGTGGTTCTGCTCTCCGTCACAGATGCTCTGGAGGAAGACGTGGATGAAGTGCAGGCCTCTTTTTAGCCACATCAGCACCAGCGTACCTCCCACTTTGGGCCATTCTGCTCTGTACCTTTCCTTCTCCATCTCCAGAAAGTTCTGCAGTGTCTGGAACTTGGCTGGGTTGGTGTCATACACGGCTTTGATTTTCATGATGTTGCCACTTATGTCTGCCTTGATGGGTGTAAACACTGGGGAGCCAAGGCAATCAAAGAAGGGTGGCAGGTGGGACACCGCCTCCAGGAAAGGCCTGGTCTTAATCTGTTTATCCATGGGCTTCAGAAGGTGCTTGGCAAGCAGTGCCATTTCAGGGTTGAGGCCTGTGGTAATGCCCCAGCTGGTGCCACGGGCAGTTTTTTTGTTTTTTGTTTTTTTCTTTTTCTTTTTTTGTTGTTTCATGGTTTTTTAATCTTCAGAGGCAAACTCCTGCATGGTTCCACCCCCCCCATATCCATAATAGCCAGCAAATTTTCCAACATATAGTCAATAAATGTTGAATTTAGCCTACATAACTTAAAAATCAAGAAAGGGAACAGTGTGGGGCTGGTGGAGTGGCTCAAGTGGTAGAGCACCTGCCTAGCAGGCACAAAGCTGAGTTCAAACCCCAGTACTACACAAAAAAAAAAAAGGGAACAGTAGATTTTGACAAAAACTTCATCTTTCATATTATAGCCAGTTCAGAGGACGTGAAAAGGAGAAAGAAGGATGGAAAGAAGAAAAGGAAGCTGAGGATCTAAGAGAATGAAACAATCTAAGAATAGAGTGATGGCAAGAACGTCCTACTTGTTTGGTCCTTGATTCTGCTTTTATGTCTTGATGTGAATTGCTTCCTTTTGCACCTGTTCAGAACTCCCAATCTCTGAGAGAAGGGAGAGAGAGAACTGGTCTGTCTGTTGCCAGACTGTACAAGTTTAAATCTAGGTTCTGATACAAACTAGCTATGTGAACTTGGACAACTCGGCTAATCACTCTGTGCTTTAAGTTCTTAAAGTACTGGGATTTGTACTCTGGACCTCATGCTTGCTACACAGGCACTTTACTACTAGAGCCACTCTGTCAGACCTTTTTTGTGTTGAGTATTTTCAAGACAGGGCTCACAAACTTTACCTGGAACTGGCCTTGAACTGAGATCCTCCGATTATATCTAGGATTACAAGCATAAGCCACCAGTGCCCAGCCGTGCTTTATGTTCTTTATTCATACGAGAGAATAGTAATAGAACCTGCCCCCCACAGAGCTGTAAAGATTAAACAAATTAATATGTATAAACATTTACAGCAGTATAAGTTGCATGGCACATTACAACCATTCAGTCTCTTCCACCTGGCTTAAAAAAAATATATATATATATATTACACACATATATCTCAGTTACGTAATCTTTGCCCAGAACTTAACTGTTAAACCTTTAACATCCCCTTTGTCATTCTAACTCCTTTAGCTGCTGAAGCTTATATCCTTGCTATCACTACCCTATCTCTTTTCCTCCATAACAAAAGTTCACCTTTGGGTATTGTACCTAGAATCTGCTTACTCTTCTATCTCTTAGTCTGAGTCAGGAACAGAAACAAAGATATCCTGGTGTAGCACATAAAACCCTCCTTTTTTCTAGAAGAACAAGAAATTGAGTTTGGGTCTAAATAATCAGGTAAAAGAGTACAGATAGTTGATGTAATTGATTTCTCCTAAATCAAACTAAGAAGCTGAGTCTACATAGATTAAAAAAAAATGGAGGTTTTCTTTCTTGGTTGTCTTACCAAAATAATTTCCTTTTATTTGGCAGTACTGGGATTTGAACTCAGGGCCTCTACCACTTGAGCTACTCTACCAGCCAGAGATTTTTTTTTTTAATGCAGGTTTTTTTTGTTTTGTTGTTGTTGTACCTTTCCTCCTTTAAATTACTTGTGTTGCTAGGTCTGGACAAATAGTTCGAGAGACCCTATCTTGAAAAAACCCATCACAAAATAGGGCTGGTAGAGTGGCTCAAGGTGTAGGCCTAAAGCTTAAGCCTAAGTACCACCAAAAAAAAAAAAAAAAAAAGAAAAAAAAATTGTGTTAACATGTTCTCAGACCACATAAAAATAGTCACACAAACACAGAGTTTACTGAGCTATTTGCTTTATAAAAATAGGATAAAATTACATAGTTATTGTTATATTTTACTTTTCTCACTCAACTATACCTCAGGAAAATCCCTCCAATGTTGTTATAGCTCTAAGCCATTCTTTAAAAAAAAACAAAACAAAACTTGCTGGGAGTATTATTGTAAACCTGTAATCCCACTTGGGAGGCAGAGGCAATAGGATTACAAATTTCAAGACCAGCTTGAGCTACCCTAGCTCAAAGAAAAAAATTTTTTTTTTTTTTTTTTTTTGATGATACTGGTGTGTGAACTCAGGGCTTCATGATTGCTAGGCAGGCATCTACCACTTGAGCCATTCCACTAGCCTTTTTTTTGTGTTGGGTATTTTCAAGATAGGGTCTTGAGAACTTTTTGCCCTGGCTGTCTTTGAACCGTAGTTCTCCTGATTTCTGCCTCCTGAGTAGTCAGGGTTACAGACGTGAGCCACTGTTGAGACTTTTTTAAGGTATAATTTATATACCATAAAATTCACCCATTTTAAGTTTGTAAAAATTTCAATGAGTTTTTGTATACAAACATTTATAACCATCATCACAATCCAATTGAGATTACTTCATAACCCCAAACAATTCCTTTGTACTTATCTTCATGCCTGCCTCCAGCAACCACTGCTCTGCTTTCTAGCTATATAGTTCTGCCTATTCTTGGATTTCCATATGAATGAAATTTTGTAATATTTAGTCGTATTGTGTGGTATCTTTCAATTGGCATGCATTTAAGGCTCATCCATGTTATGACACTTATCAGTAGTTCTTTTCATTCCCCATTGTTTGAACATACTGCATTTTGCATATCCATTCACTACTTGAGGTAAGCTACATAGATGGCTTTTAAACCCTTCTATAAAATCTTTTACAAAACCCTGAAATCTTTCACTTGCCCTTTTCAGGACTAGTGGTAACACAACTGTCTTAATTTTTTGGAAAGGAGGGAAGCTAAGAACTTTTTTTATTTTAATTTATTTTATTATATTGTTGTACTGGGGGTACACTGTGACATTTACAAAAGTTTTTACAATTTATCATAGTTAAATTCACCCCCTCCATCATTCTCCTAGAGCTCTTTTTAATCCATGAGGTACCTTCTTAGAAACCTATGTTTGAAAAAAGTATAGTTTGAAAACTACCAGTATAAAGCATACTGTAGAAAACTCTGTGTGTTAGGAATATATGTATATAAATGCTATATCCAGATGAAATAAAATGAAGAAAAACTTGCAGTGTTTGGGAACACTTTTTTAACCTGAATGTGTGATAGATTAAATATATTTCCCCATGTCACCTCATACTGGCATGGTCTGATCTGGAAATATTGGCTCAACACACATCAGCAGTGTTTCCATTAGTACTTGAAGGGCATCAGCTTTATTTATTTATTTATTTTGCATACTGGAATTTGAATTAAGGGCCTACACCTTGAGCCACTCCACCAGCCCTTTTTTGTGATGGGTTTTTTGGAGATGGGTCTCCTGAACTACTTGCCTGGGTTGGCATCCTGATCTCTGTCTCCTGAGTAGCTAGAATTATAGGTGCAAGCTACAAGCACCAGGCTGGACATCAGCTTTGTGAAGTTGGACTAAGAGATCTTCCTTGAATGGATTATCCAGGACATCCACCCAATTAAAGACCATATTTTTACATAAAATGAAAAATTTTAAAAAACTTCAAAAGATATATTTCCTAAAGAAACGAATGTTTCCCTTGTGTACAGTTTGGTTCTTCTGCCAGGACTTTAGGGGGAATAGGTTATAGCTTCATGCTCACTTGGTGAACAGCCCAATGCAATCTATTTCAGCAGACTTTTTTTTTTAACCTTTCTAGATATTCATATATATATGTGTGTACATATATATATATATACTTTTTTTTTTCTTGGTGATACTGGAATTTTAACTCAGGCCTCAAGCTTGCTCTACCACTTGAGCCACATTTCCAGACCTGCTTTAGTTATTTTTTGAATAGAGTCTCATATTTTTTTTGCCTTGGTCAGCTTGGTCCTTTACCCTCTATTTATACCTTTTATATAGCTGGGATGACAAGCACTTGCCACTACACCCAGCTAATTGGTTGAAGTGGGGTCTTGAGAACTTTTTGCCCATGATTGTCCAGATCTCCACCTTCTGAGCAGCTGAGATTATAGACCAAAGCCATTGCATCTGGCTAATTTTTGTTTTTCTTTCTTGGCAATACTGAGGTTTCATGCTTGCTAGGCAGGCACTCTATCACTTGAGCCATACACCAAACCCTTATATTTTGTTGTTGTTTTTTTTAATCAGGCAATTATTATAGTTTACGTTCTCAGCATGAGAAAGCAGCCTTATATTTCCAGAGAGCCCTGAAGTTGAATCCTCGGTATCTTGGGGCCTGGACACTGATGGGGCATGAATACATGGAAATGAAAAATACCTCTGCTGCTATCCAGGCTTATCGGTGAGCATATGGTTGTGGGTGAGTGGATGGAGCAGGTTGATGTGATGTCGGGAGCCTCTGTTGAGCCTGCAACCTTGATTGTACCTTCTCACCAGTCTACCTTTTCCATTTCTTAGACATGCCATTGAAGTCAATAAGAGAGACTACAGAGCTTGGTATGGCCTTGGGCAGACCTACGAAATCCTTAAGATGCCATTTTATTGCCTTTATTATTATAGACGGGCTCACCAGCTTCGGTAAGTCTGGTCACTTGACAATGTGTTCGCTGTGGGAGGGGCTAATACTGCTTCTTTCTCTTTTGATTGCCATTGATGAATCACTGTGAATGATTTTAACTACTGGAGACCTAAGTTTATACTTGCTAAACACTGTTTGATCATTTTTATTTAGTGTCTTCCACTAATGGGTTGATAGTATAATTATGAGCACAAAGTAATGTAATTATATGAAGCATTCTATTGAAGACTGGTCCTTGCATAGATTTGAAATAGCAATAAAATAAGTATCAGGGGTACTTTTCAACAGAAAACTTCAGTTAATGACAATCTTTGCTCAGCTCACCTATTCCTCTTCTTTCTCAGGCCAAATGATTCTCGTATGTTGGTTGCCTTAGGAGAATGTTACGAGAAACTCAATCAACTAGTGGAAGCCAAAAAGGTACCTGATATTTGGCCTTGAGATTTTGAGTGCAAATCTGTTTAGATGAAGGTTGGACTATTTGTACTCTAATTTTTTCATTATTGTGATCTATGTGTATAGTGAAGTCTGAATATTTTAAGGGTCACCACTTAAGCTAAAAACAAAAGTAGGCTGAGAGCATCAATGGCAATGCCAGTATGTAGCCTAGACATGTCAGAACCAGTAAAAATGTTTTGTATTCTGCATATCTGAACTTGTAGAAGGCTTGGAGGCCTTAACCTTTATGTGATTAGTTGTTATACATGGGCAATGTCAAAGTGACTGTTTTTTGTTTATTTGTTTTTTAACAGTGTTATTGGAGAGCTTATGCTGTAGGAGATGTGGAGAAAATGGCTCTTGTAAAACTGGCAAAGTGAGTGGAATGCTATTGATATTGCATGTTCTGGACCCTTCCATCCTTCCATTGTCACATGAATTTGAGTTCAGTAGGGTATACAAATGCTAGTCTTGGAATTGAGTCATCTTTTGTGCGTGGGTTGGGGGGAAGGGGAGGGGTGCTGGGGTTAAACCTAGAACCTTGCACATGCTAAGCATGCACTCTACCACTGAGCTATACCCTAACCCTAGCCATCTTAACTCTGGAAAGTGCCATTTCTCTTTTAAGGGGGAATAGCTTTCCTACTACACAAGGGATCAAGAATGAATTGAAAAAAGGAATGGGCCAGGGGTGTAGCTCAGTGGTAGAGTACTTGTCTGGAAAGCAGGAGGCCCTGAGTTTGATCCCCAGCACGGAAAAAAAGAAAAAAAAAAAAAGAAGAAATGATTTATTTATTTATTTATTTATTTATTTTGGCAGTACTGAGGCTTGAACTCAGGGCCTTCACCTTGAGCCACTCCTCCAGCCTTTTTTGTGAAGGGTTTTTCAAGATAGGGTCTTGCGGAACTGGTTGCCTGGGCTGGCTTCAAACCATGATCCTCCTGATCTCTGCCTCCTGGATTACAGGATTACAGGTGTGAGCCATTGGTGCCCGGCTGAAATGAAATTTTTATGTTAATGTATTCTAAGAAAATGCTGGGGATATGGCTCAAGTGGTACAGAGCTTTCCTAGCAGGAGCAAGGCCTTGAATTCAAAGTCTAGTATCGCCAAGTTTTTTAGGAAAATGACTTTAAGTTCTAATTTCCTGATAAGACCAAGAAATTTAACAAATTGCTCAAAAATAGTTGGTAAAGACCTGAAATGCAATTTCATTCCTGCCAGTTCTTATTTGGACTCATAAGTCTGAGTTCCTTAATGTATTTTTCAATATCATTCCAGGTATTACTGGAGAGTTTTTGAGGGTTGTATTATCCAACATAAATATTACTCTTTTTTATTTATTTTCTGCAGTACTAGGGATCAAACCGAGGGCCTTGTGTGTGCTAGGCAAACAAACACTTAAGCACTGAGCTACATTCCTAGCCCCAAGTATTTACTCTTAACTTTCCTTCCATCATTAGTCGGAAGAATGACAACTGTAAACTCCCCTAGCCCCACCTCCCCCACAGAGCCTACCATGTGGTACTAGGGATTGAACCCAGAGCCTCACCCATGCTAAGGCAAGCACTTTACCACTAAATTATACTCCTAAATTTTTGTGTTTTTTTTTTTTTTTTTGTAGTGCCAAGGATTGAACCCAGGGCCTTGAGCTGCTTGTTAGGCAGGTACTCTATCACTTGAACCATGCCCTCAGCCCTGATTCTAAGCTTTCTAGAGGTATTCATCTGATGGGCACTAAACTCTTCTGGAGCCAGGCCTTGCTACTTGGGAGGCTGAGATTGAAAGGATTGAGGCCAGCCCAGGCAAATAGTTTGTGAGACCCCGTCTCCAAAATAACCAGCACAAAATGGACTGGAGGTGTGGCTCAAGTGGTAGAACACCTGCTTTGCAAGTATGAAGCCCTAAGTTCAAATCCCAGTCCCACAAAAACAAAAAATACCCCCCCCCAAAAAAAAAACCTCTTCTGGATCCCAGTGTGTCATGTCAAAATTTGTATTTGTCTGTATATTGTCTTTTTTCTTTTTGTCATAATCATGTTTTTACTTTTAAACTTTACTTTTAAACTAACTTGCTTTGAGGTCTGATTTGTATTTAAAGCCTAATTTCTTTTGTAGGCTTCATGAACAGTTGACTGAGTCAGAACAGGCTGCCCAGTGTTACATCAAATATATCCAAGATATCTATTCCTGTGGGGTATGTGTGATAGCATGAGAATTGTGTTGCTGATATTATTTTTATCACCTCAGTCATTCCTGATTTCCTTATCTAGGAAATAGTGGAGCACTTGGAGGAAAGCACTGCGTTTCGCTATCTGGCTCAGTACTATTTTAAGTGCAAGCTGTGGGATGAAGCTTCAACTTGTGCCCAGAAGTGTTGTGCATTCAATGACGTAGGTATCAGTTCTTTAATAAAGGGATGCAATTTGGGGCTAGAATATATGGTTTTTACCATGATGTGTTACTTGGAAGGTGGATAAGTATGTCAATAGAAAGCCTACTTTTTTTTTTTTTTTTTTTTTGAGACAGGGTTCTTGTTTATGTAGCCCAAGCTGGCCTTGAACTTATGATCCTCCCGCCTCAGTCTCTTGAGTGCTGGGATTACAAGTATGTACTACCACCAATTTATAAACCTACTCTGGTCTGTGGAACAGTAGTATCTTTCAATAGCCTGTTTTTGAGAATAGCCTTGAACATATTTTGAAACAACTGCTTGACTTTATTTCAGACCCGAGAAGAAGGTAAAGCCTTGCTCCGACAAATCCTACAGCTGCGGAACCAAGGCGAGACTCCCACAACTGAGATGCCTGCTCCCTTCTTCCTCCCTGCATCACTGTCTGCTAACAACACTCCCACACGAAGAGTTTCTCCACTCAACTTGTCATCAGTCACACCGTAGTTGCGACTTTTAAGTCAGCACATTGCTAGACCCCATAGTAAGCCTTACCTCTACATAAAGAATGGCCAGGTCTCCCAAGGACTTCAGCTCTTCTCATTTCTACAGATGAAAACAGCCTTGAGGACAGAGGCAGACACAAGTACTGGCAGGAACAGATACTTGTCTTTTGCTAGTTAGAAGCACTTCTATCTCCCTTTTCTTCAAAGAATGGCTGTAGTTCTTGACCTTCTTCCCAGAATCCCCCTTCCCCACCCCCAAGCAAACACATCCCTTATACAGCACTTTAGCACAGGCAGTGTTACAGGAACAAGGTTTTAATGCTTTGGGAGTGGGATAGACAAGGGGAGAAAAATCTGCCACTATCCCCTATTCTGGCAATAGGCAGCATCAGGACACTGGACAGAAAGAGCCTTTTATTTTGGGTTTTTTTTTGAGTTGCAGTTTCACTGTACAGCCTAAACCAGCCTCAAACTCTCAGTTCTCTGGCCTCAGCCTCCCTAGTGCTGGAATTACAGGCATGTACTACCATGCCCTACTAGAAATGAAGTCATGAAGTTGTTGAGTAAAACCCCCATTCTGATGTCAGAGATTAGGTTTAAATGGAGTAGAGCTACATGTGTTCTTTGGAGACATTCTTCAAAACAGTTTTGAAAAGGAGTCTTCTAAAAGCTTTCAAATTGGAAGCAACTTAGGGTTAAATAGAAGAGAAAAAGAATTTCTGTGAGCATGAATTATTGATGCCCTTTCCTGAGGACAAAGATGTCTATAGCATTAGCTATAGCCCTATCAAAGCAAAGAGACAATTACAGATTTCATGGACATTTGAAAATAACTTTTGACTACAGATAAGAATAAACTTACTTTGTGCTGGTCTGTTTTTCCCTCTATCGCCAAAAGAATACATTTTTTTCAACCTCATCTGTATAGACATGGTATTCTTATGGTGCTCACAGAGGGTTTCAGGCTGGTGCATATGTGTTCAGTAGCAGATAATATGCTTTGATTACGTTTGCTGTGATGAATTTGTACAGTATATGCTATGGATCATTCTTAACTTAGGATCCAGCCTTCTCGTTTCTAGGACATTTTTACTCATCTCCTAATGTATGATGCTTCATTTTATATTAAAAAAAGTTTAGAATATCTAAAGCCACTTGAATTCATTTCTTCCTAAGTCTTTTTAGGCTAGATGAACACTAGTTCTGGTTTCTTTTGCTATTCCTGTGCAGAGTTCACATGGACCAGAATGTTTGAGTCTTATTTTTCTGCCCTTTTTATAATTTGTCTTCATGACTGCTAAATTTGGAATTCAAATAAAAAAATGTGAACAGTAAGTAAGCTTTATTTAATATTACTTTTGTGTGCATAAAAACCATGAGTGGAAACACGAGATTACATACATAAGTGATTATAATACAAAAAGGGGAAAAACGACTAATATCTTGAGTATTACATTCTGGATAGAATTCCAGGTATATGATAAAACTTAAAAGAAACCTTTTAATTAAGCTAAGCAGTTGACCTGCTTTAGGGCAACAACTGTACTCTTCCCTAAAGCCTTAGTATTTTTTGCCAAAAGGCCCAGATTTGAGTAATGGAGAGTGCCGTGAGCGTAAAATCCGAGCATAAGGGCTGCAGTTTGTTGAGCTTTGGCAGGTGGGTGTTCGGGGAAGTAAGTTTCGAAGGAATGGTTTCTTCCCTGGAGGTTGCTGGTTTGGTTGCTGGTTTTCCTGGTTGGCACCAAGGCGCTTTTTGGAAGAAGCCTGGCCTTGAAGCTTGAGCACAGTATGGTACTGCTCAGCGATGCATGCTGCCTTCTTCCGAAGGTCCAGTTTCACTAGCACCATGTTATTTTGCAGCTCAGCCAGGGTCTGGTCCTAAGGAACATCAGTAAGTTAGAGAAAACATTTCTGTCTGGTATATTAGAGTAACAAGAGCAAGGTAATACATGCCATCTTCTACTAGTTACTGTTTCTTCAAAGATTAACTTTTAGGGTCAGAGGGCATAACTGAATAGAGGTTGTATTTTCTTTCAGACCCAAACATAAGCAGTACTAAAGAAAAGGATATTTTCTAGTAGTATCAGCTCCAATAAATTTATTTAACTTTCAAGAACTTTAGTTCTGTATGTATCAGATGTGTGTAGTCATTTTTTTTTTTAACATTTTAAGACCTTTAGAGTCAGGATGCATCTTACTGGTGAGATATGTCATAGCTTGTAGTAGAGTGCCTGCCTACCATGCATGTTTCAATCCCTAGAACCACATTTTAGTGCTTTTTTCTTACTAGCATATAAAATAGTACCAGTGGCAATGAAGTATGATAATGTCTTGCCTTCTTAGGGTTGTTATAACAGATCAAATGCTTATGTATTACTCAGCACAGTGCCTGGTACTTAGTAAATGCTTAACAAAAAATAATTTTTTATTTGCAACTTCAGCCTAAAAATCTTTATTTTTCTTTTTTCACTCCCTTTCTCACACATACATTGGAGCATGGAGTGGCTGCCCTCACCTGTTTAATTAAGATGTCATCACAAGTGGTAAAAGCCTGGCGAAGTTTTTCTGCCCCAGTGCTGTGGCAACAGGCCCTTTCTGCTGACTGGAGCGACTGGCTGAGTTTCTGAAGTTCTGACCGCAGCAACCTTATATTCTGAAAAAGGAGGAATCAGATTGTGACCAAGATCAACCAGAATAATGATCCTGGTTGGATAGCCATTTGAAGAGAAGTAAAATTAGGAAGGCTAAATGAAATAGCCGTTTCCTAGGACTCTGCACAAAAAAGTACCTTGTCCTCACATGAACCCCTGATAAACAGTTTTGGATGTTAGAAATTATCTTAGCTATCTGAGCTTTGGTAACTGAGAAAGGTAATTACCTTCTGGCCCTCCTCTAATTTCTTGTCTACATCAGTGGTGAAGGGTTTGGCTGAGGGTGGTGGTTCTAACATTTGCTGATACTTCTGTAGCTCTGAGGGAAGGAAACAGAAAACATACATATGTTGGGATTTTTAGCTGTGGACTTACCTCTTTAACTAAGTTAATAGTAGTTATAGAAAATAAAAAGTGAAGCTACATGCATCCTAGAGTGAAAGGTCAGAGGAATATAGCTCTGAGTTGAAATTATGTTGGAGTTGGCGTCAGAAGGCCCTGGGTCAAACACCAACTCTTCCTAGAACCATGTCATGCTTCTTGCCTTCTCTCCTTACCTTCAGTGGTGGAGTTGAGCTCTGCTCTACATTGTTCTAGTTTAGTTTTAACCTCCTGGAGCTGCTGAGTGGAGGCAGAAGCTGCCAACCTCTGTGACCGCCGTAGGGACAATTCAGACCCTGACTGTTGATGAGCCACAGGCCTCTGCCTGACTTCCTGCAGGAGTGCTTCTAACTCTTCAATCTTTTCATCCCGCTCCTAAAAGGGAAGCAGAGAGCACAGTTTTGTCTGGTGCTAGGCAAATAGTGCAGGACCAGATACTGAACAAATGAACCAAACCCTTCTTTATACCTGAGTCTCAAAATCTTGTTTGTTAGTGCTTACACCTTTTCCTGATCAACTAAACCTTTAATTCACCAAACATAGATTGAATACTTACAAATCACTAAGAGGAATAGAGCTAAGTGAGTTATAAGTACCTGCTTTTAACAGTTTATAAAATCTATATGAGGCAACCTATTAATAAAAATCTGAGCAGTTTGTTGGGGCTGTTTCAAGGCAACTCACCTGAATCTCTTCTTGGTAAAAACTTGTCAGTGAATCCTTAAGGATCTGTAGTTTCTCTTCATACATTTCCTCTAATAGTTCCTTTTGGGTGTCCAAATGCTCACTGTCAGAGAGAAGCGAGTGAAGGTTCTGAGGAATGTACTTGGGGGACAGATCTCAAGGCACAACTCCATCCCAGACCCAACTTCTCATTGTCTGTCTCAAGTGACAGAGCAAGAGGGGTTACTCAGCCATTACCTGCACCATTGTTCCCGTTGTTGCATCTGTTCCACCATCTCATTGCAAATTTCATCACGGAGCTGTATCTCCAGCTGCAACTTTTCCTGTGTTCTTTTAAAGCAACGTTTCAACTGGCTTCCACTACTTGTAGAGCTCCTAGGAAGAACACATGTGATGGAGGCCCATAAGATGTTCAGCCCCCAAAAAGGCAACCACCTGGTAGGCAGCATAGGAAATATGTGCCATTAAGCTGCTACCCAAGCTTTTTGTACTCTTACCTCCTTGCTGTACATAGAGATATCAGTTCGTTCAAACATGGTCTCAAGACTGTGTCTGCCTTACTCCCTTTTTCTAAGCGTCAGGGGATGCTGAAGACTATGTTCCTTGATGGAATGATTTAGGGATGGGAGTCCAGTTGCACAGGTGGGTGCATGCACAAGCTAGCAGAGGAAAAAAATCTTAAGTAGTCTCTATAGTTTTCTTAGTTATCAGTCCTACAGTAGGCATATCTAATCAGTTTACCTGGCTGGCAATGGCTTTGAGAACTTGGGCTACATGAAGAGTTCATCATAGGTAGATGCACAGGGATTGACGTTGACGAATCAGCAGGCGGCCTCGACCTGTGACAAAGCCCTTGAAAACACACTCGATGTCAGCTTGCTTGTCACGAAAGGGAACTAGGTTCTGCTTTGACCTGGCAGAGAATCAGAAACAGAGACTGTTTGAGTGGGGAAAACTCAAGCCTTGGGATATCCCAGTACATACTCAGTGGTGATCAGGAAGTCTTAGCAAATTGATGAGCCCAGGCCATTTCAGCCCACGCTTACAGTCAAAAGCTTACGCGTTCTGCTGGTTTTGGCGCAAAAGGCAGTTACAACCGCCCAGGGTGTGAGAGAAAGTATTAATGTTTTCCTGCTTTCCTTCAGCCGCTCCCACTCAACCTTTTTTGATCTTTGCAAGCGCTCTGAGCCAGCCCAGATCAAAGAGTGATAGCCTCGAACTTATGCACAGGATCTGACATGAGGACCTCATGAGTTGTGAGCCTAACCAATTATACTTCCTGGGGAAGAGAGGGCCTATTGAGAATCTCTGTACCTGAGAAAAGGAGGAAGTGATTTTCTGAGGACTTCTATATGCTAGAATATAGTGGCAAGAGGATCAAGTTCTAAGTAGAAAAACTTCTCCTGACTTGGGGACAATATCTCCTTCCCCTTGAAGGTGCAGGATTCGAATTGAGAAGATGCTGTGACTGGAAGTAAAAAAAAGAAAGCATTGGTCATCCCATTATACCATGTTCGGGGACTAAACTTTCCTAGAATGTAAAGGGTTTATTTTTACAATCACTTACCTGCCGGCCTAGAGCTCTGATCCAGGTGGGTGCTGGCAAACTTCTGGTTCTTTACGGCCACTTTTCAGAGATTTCAGCTTCTTCAGCATCTTGAACATGAATCCAGTTTGAGATCTGAGCCAAAAGAAAGAAAGGCAATGAGACAGAACATTATTCCTTTCCAAGTTTCTCCACTAGTCCCCCAAGTCTTGCAAACATTCCCCACATTCCATACCCTTTCAAACATAGGATTGCCATTTTGAATCCTCAACATAGCGCAGGTCCGCTCTTGCGCGCTGACTAGGTGTTCTAACAGGTCGTAAAGCCAGTTATTGTAGATCTCAAAGAAGGAGATCCCAGATGGAGAAAGCGAATGTCTGCTGGGAACACTTACTGGAGGCAGTGTCCTGGGCTGTGCCCATACGGTGATTTTGTTTCTGAGGAGAAGCAAGGTACAAACTCCATCAACCTACAGCACTCCATCTTACCTTTGGTCTGCAAGGGTCCTTGGAAGGTGAAACGCCTTGGTTGCAACTTTTGGTTTATACGCCTTATCGCTGTTGGGAGAGAGTGGAGTTGCTATTGTTACTGGCCAGAACCCGTCATGGAACATACCATCCAGCTGACTATTGCTGGTAAACTGACTGTGGAAGACAGCCCAGCAATGCCACTGTCAAAGCGGTGCTGGTACCCATCCGACTTTCATGTGACATTCCTCTTTCAAAAGGAGGTGGACAGCTCCTCTGGAGAAGCACAAGAGAAGGTAAGTTACAAACTTCCTGAGATTGTACCCCTTACCCCCAACTTCATGCATACCAACACTTCCACCTCTGGAGGCTCCATTTAGCGGGACAAGCTTCTCATTTTCCTCTGTCGAATTGCTTGTTATCTAGCCAGATTATCTCATTGGGAGTAAAGGCTTCAGGTCCGGTGTTGGATGAAGTTGGCCGCTTGGACGGCTATTGAAGATAAGCCGGGACGGGGCAGGATCCCTCCATCCTTGATGGTACCTGGAGGCAAAATAAAGATGCGCAGCTGAGCAAGTGTCTTTCTCTCCCTAACTCAGGCATCAAAAGGGTAAAGACGTGGCGCACAGTTGCTCATGCTTATAATCTAGCACTCAGAAGACAGATCAGGACGGACTGCAGTTCAAAGTCAGCCCAGGGAAACATTTTGTGAGACCCTATCTGAAAATGCTAACACTAAAAGGGCTGGTGAGTTGGCTCAAGTGGTAGAGTTTCCTTCCTAGCGAGCATGAGGCCCGAGTTCAAACCCTAGTATTGCCCAAACGATCAACAATAAAATAGGTAAAAGACTAGCTACTTGAGAGGAAAAGATTGGGCAAAGCTCACAGTTCAAGGCAACCGGCCAAAAGTTTTCAACAATAGCTGGTGTGGTGACATTCACCTGTTAATCAGCTACAAGGAAGTACCGATAGGCACGTCTTGGTCAGCCTGGCAGGAATAACATGAGACCTATGCCCAAAAACAACCAAAGCAAAACAGGGCTGCCGAGTGTCGGCAAAGTGGGTAGAGTACCTGCTGCCAAGTTGGGCTCTGAGTTTAATGTATTCAAACCCAGTCCTTCCCCATCCTACCCCAAAAAAAGTAGACTACCATTACATGCCACAGCAATCCTGTAAAACTTACTCACTTGAAATTGTGTGGGTTTTTCCTGAGTTGGTACTCCATACGTATAGATGAGCCAGTTCTGCCCTTGTGAGTAATCTTTACACTTCGTTCACGGTCAGGTTGAAGAAGAGCCTTGTGCCTACTTCTGGCCCAATATCTTAAGGAAAACACAGAACCCCCCACAGGTTTTTTTTTCTCAGAGGCATCTTTTCACCTCCAGTTGCGGCCTCCTGTGCAGTCGCAGAGTATCTTCTGGTGGGTCTAGCTCTGGAGACCACTCAAGAACAGCTTCTTTCTGTCCTGCTGCCTGCTGTTTCTAAAACTGAGACTCAACCACCTCTCTCTCCTTGTCCATCTTTCATTCAAATCAACAAATACTTAGGGAATGCTATCACTAAGCCTGAATGCTACAACACACTAAATAAAATATAATGGTTGTAAGTGTGGGCCTTTGGAGATGGATGGCTCGGATCCAGCCCTCTGTCTATTACTGGACTAGCCTCTATGGCTTAAGCCAGTATTACTTTCATTGAGTCATAGTATCCTTATCAGGAAAATAGGGATAGAATTATTGGGACTAAATGCACTGAGTAACTCTGCAACGTTGCCTAAGTCCAAGTAGAAAGTCCTGTACAGAAATAAAGTTGGCAGGCACTGGTGGCTCATACCTATCATCCTAGCTACTCAGGAGGCAGAGATAGGAGGATTGGGCAGTTCTAAGCCACCCCGGACAAATAGTTCACAAGCCCTATCTCAAAAATAAAACATCACAAAAAAAGGACTGGGCCGAGTGGTAAAGCAGTAAGAAGTGCTGCTTAAGCAGGCTTCAAAAAAAAAAGAAGGAAAAAGCAGTTCCTCAATGTTGATCCTTGTTCACTATACCAGTACCTCCATACCTTGAGAAAAGGTGAATTGTGGGTGCTTGGCCCATTCCCCTCTCATTGCTCTTTAGGGCAAAGGAGTCTTGGTGCTTGTAAGAACAAGGGTCTCCTTATTCTCAATCTGGGACAAGCGCCTGAAAGGGGAAAATACTTACTACAAAGAAAACCCAGGAACGTCTTCTGATATATCAGTTCCACCTTAAGCTTCCTCCTTAAGCAACTCACCTGATCCTCCTGTCGTTCTAGGTTCTGTAAGGTAATAAGGGCCCTGATTCGCAGGTATATCTTTCACCTTCTCAGTATTGTCCTCACATGGAACCTGTATTAAATTTCAGCCCAGAACTACAGATTCATCTCAGAAGTTGCCACTGAGAGCAAAATGGAAGTTCCCTAGAATCATGCTAACACTACTATTTCACATCTCTGTGCAGCTATTCCTTGGTCCACAATCTTCCTACCCTACAAACGTTCTTATTTGTTACCCTTCTCTTATTCATTAGTAATCCTGCAAACCTGGCTTGGCCACATCCCTTGTCCCTGAGTTAGAATTGGTTGACTGTATGAAATCACCTTGTGACACTAGAGCAAGCACAGTAGTTTTAAGCACTTTTGAATCCCAATTCATTGTTAGTAAACATCAGAATGACCTTGAACGAGTTTTTAAATTTTTTTTGTTGGCTGGTAGTACGGTTCAGGCGTAGAGCACCTACCTAGAGAAAGAGGCTGCGAGTTCACGCCCAGTGCCAAACAACACCCACAAAAAATAATTTGTCATCTTTTTCATTCTAAAAAATGAATGCTAATACACAGTGGACCCCTCATTCCTTTCAACAGGTATTTTAAGAGTGACTGCTGTGGCCTGGGATTCTAAGAGGAACACTATGAAGGATCTGCTCTCCATGGAACTTTATAAGTTTCTAGAAGAAATCTGAAAAGAGAGTAAAAAGACATGACAATATATGTTAACGTTTAACATAGGGTCCTAATACAGTGGTTTCACACAGCAATTTCCCTCTCCCAAAAGGACATTGGGTTCTGAACAAAGTGGGGAAAGTATACTCGACATCTAGTGGTTAGGTGGTTAGGAATGCTATAAAACATTAGCAATGCCAGGGGCAGCCCCTCAGTCAAAGAATTGTCCCTAAATGTCCATTATGCTGTAATTGAGAAACCCTGGTTGTATAACAAACCTGAATGCACATTCCACTACTTAAGTCAGCATGGCTTAGGTGCAAATAATTGTCTTATTTCTTTGGGGTGCTTGGGGTTCAAACTCTGGTTCTCAAGCATGCATTTCTACTACTAAGCTACCACCCTGCCAGCCTTGTACAAATTTTTTACATAAATGAGCTTCATAGTGGACGGAGAGACCATAATTCTTCACTGAATGATTAAGAGCATGCCCTTGTGATAACTTTCATTAGTACAGTACCGTAATGTTATTCTTGTGGATACCTATTCCACATCTCCAACCCCTTTACTGCTGCTTGTCCTTCCAGGAAGTAGAGATGACAGAACATTCTGACAAAGAATTCTTGCGTATACAGACACCAGGTCTGCAGCTGTGGATTCAAACATGGGGGAGACAGACATCCTCATCGGACAGCAAGCCCCGCTGGAGGAGAAGGATCCCTTGAGACATGACAGCAGGGGGAGGCCTACTCTAAAAAGAAATAAGAGTAGGGAGGGTGAAGAGCATTAACTAAACAAAGGAGGCTGCAAATTATAGGTAAAAGAAACAAATGCCCTTGCCTCAAGCAAACCGGTCTGATTGCAACTCGCCCCTATTTTCTCTCATTGTCGCTAACGGGAAGGGGAGAATCTCCAGTCGAGGCCGCATTTTTTTAAAAACGCGAATAGGAATTAGGAATATCTGGCTCCTAAAAAACAAGGCCACGCCCAAGTAGGGTGTCTGTTCCCTTCAGTTCCTGTGGAGCTAGTGTTAGGATCCCTGGGGTTCTTCCGTCAACCTACTCCACAGCTCACGTGAGAACACAGTATCTTAGGGAAAAAAAGAAATGGGCTATGCTCCGCTGTCTGAAAGCCTATTCCACGCTGGCAAGAGCTGTTAACCTGGGCTCCAGCCTAGCTGTACACTCACCGGGAGACGGGACACTCGCAGCTTCTCTGGTACGAGCCTCCACCCCGCTGCAGAACCGAACTTTCACTACAGTAGGACCCGACTCCGCCCACGAGGTGAAGCTTGTTCCTGATACAATGTTTAAATTACGCGCTGAGTTCGTTCGGCCAATCAGAAAGCGAAACCTGCAGTTACCAATCAGCGTAAGGAAATGGGGCGGAGCGAGAAAGGGAGACCGTTGCCTTCAGCTTGACCTCTCATGTGTAAAATGCGTCCGGGTTACTAACTGTCAAGGGTTCCGAGTTGTTCCTTCCCAGTTAACTCTTTATTGAGAACTCTAGATATTTATTTCCTAAATGCCTTACGGATAGCCTCAGGTTTCATCAACACTTCTTTCCAGGAGTGCACAGGTAACGAGTTTGAGGTCCATGGTTCGTCTTGGGTAAAAACTACATTTCCCAGGAGTCACTGCGAAACAAATGTCCCTACTGTATTTCCCAGAATTCTCGGGTTCGACGCTACCCGACTGTCTCTCACTGGCGTTGAAGACTTCGGGGCCAAAATGGCGGCAGGGACGGGCAGTGAGTATTTTAGTGGCTTTTCTAGAGTTGCTTTCCGGCCTTTGTAGAACAGAGGTTAGGCGCCACGTTTGTTGTCATACGTGAAGGGAATGGGAAGAGTGGCTTGCCTAATAGCTCAGGGTCTTTAGAGACCTGCTTGTGGATGGCGTCGTGAAGGCCGGCGTGTGTGACTTAAATCCAAGTGTTGGCTGTTACGTCCCCGGGAGAGAAAGGAGTTCGAGAGAAGCAGCTCGGCGCGGCTCTGCAAGTCGGGTGTCCTGAGGGGTGAAAGATAAAGGCACTCTAGAGCTGTCGTAAGCCGAGCGGAGGGGCCGGCAGCTCGGCCTCATTCATTTTCTAAACTACTGGTGTGAGGCAGATGAATTGGGGTTTTTTCACCGTAGGCGTTTTCTGTCGCTAGGGAAATTGCCTTTTTTGTGCATTTCAACTACTATTCTCTGTCTCATGGATAGAAGATGTTTTTTTAGGCCCGACAGCTGGGGGGAGGAACCGAGGGAAATAAACAAGTTTATGCTAAGAGGGCGGAGCGCTGGGAGGGGCTGCCGGTCGGAATCCAGTGAAATTGGAATGAAGTAGCGGGCGCGGTGGTGGTCATGCCTGTAATCCTAGCTGGATGGGGGATCTAGGCCCGCCTGCGCATAAATGGCAAGACTTCACACCAAAGTAAAGTAAAAAGTGCTGGAGGCCCAAGTGGTAGAGCGCCTGCCTAGTAAGCTCGAAAGCCTTGTACCACCAAAAAAAGGGAAGAAATTGGAATGAAGTATTCTTAAAACTGTGACTTTTCAAAAAATTGTTTCATTCTAATATGACATTCCCCAGTTTTTAATAAAGCAGAGCTTGAAGCCATGACTCAAATTTGTTCAAATTCAAATAGAATTTCTATAATGCTTGTGCAGAGAATTTATGCCATGGCCAGTGGTATATTTCATTGTAGTGGCAAAAATCAATATTTGGTGATGGTTTAAAAAAAATGGTGATAGTATCTCACTTTGTCCCAGCAAGTTGAGATATTTTGAATTAGATTTTTAGTTGTTCCTTTGGGGCTTAAATCTACCTCACTGGCTGTCTTTACACCTTTCTTTTCAGAACACAAGCTGCTAAGTACAGGTCCCACAGAGCCATGGTCCATTCGAGAGAAGCTGTGTTTAGCATCTTCTGTCATGAGGAGTGGAGATCAAAACTGGTAAGAAATCTAGGATGTCTGCTTTCTTTTTTTTGGGGGCAGTACTGAGGTTTGAACTTTGTGCTTTGAACTTTGAACATTGTGCTTTCTAGACAGGCCTCTATCACTTGAGCAGTCTCCAGCTCTCACTGTGGTTTTTATTTGCATTTCTCTATCTTCTTTGAAGAAATATGTGTGCAATCCATTGTCCACTTTAATTTGGGTTGTATATTTCTTTTTGTTACTGCATTGTAAGAATTCTTCATGTATCCTGGTTGTAAATTTTATCATTTAAGTGATTTGCAAATATTTCTCCTGTGTGTTGTCTTTATACTTTATTTGTTTTTTTTTGGCAGTAGTGGGATTTGAATTCAGGACCCAATTTTTTTGTTTCTTTGTTTTCGGTACTGGGATTTGTACTCAGGGTCTACACCTTGAGCTACCCCACCAGCCCTTTTTTTTTTTTTTTTTTTTTTTCTGTGATGGGTTTTTTGGAGATAGCCTCCTTAGTAGCTAGGATTACAGGCAAGAGCCATCAGCACCTTGCTCAGGACCCAATTTTGATGCACTAGTTTTTCTTTTGTTACTTTGCTTTGGGAATCATAGCTAGGAAATCATTTACTTCTGTTTTTATTTTTCTTTTTTTTTTTGTTTTTGGTGTCGCTGGAGTTTGAACTCAGGGCCTCAATACTTGCTAGGCAGATGCTCTACCATTTGAGCCACTCCACCAGCCCCCATATTTTTCAAATAACTTTGCAAAGATACTTTTGAATTAAAAGAATCAAATCTGACTAAGATAGTTAATAATTCAAAGGTAAGGCATCACTGCAGTTTAAATTGTTCCAGTATTTTAGTGGTATATTCCTGTAAACCCAAAATTTGGAGACTGAGGCAGGAGGTTCTCAAGTTTGAGGTCAGCTTGGGCTACATATTGAGATCTGTCTCAGAAGACCCTTAGTAGTCTCAGTACTTTGTCACCTATAATATCTAAAAGTATTTGCTATTTCAAGATCACTCAAAATTTCACCAAGAGGGAGATGAAAATAAAACATAAATACAATTTTTTTTTTAAAAGATCACTCGAAATTTGGAGCAATATCTGAAATCAGATATAAATCTCATTAAAATGTCTTTAGTTAATTAAAAGGTAATATATGTGCAGATAGATATATATATCTGTATATGTATATATAAAGACATATATTAAAAAAAAATTTTGCGTAGTACTGGGAATTGAACCCAGAGCTTGTGCATGTTAGGCAAGTGTTCTACCACTTGAGCTACCATCCCAACCCTATATGTACATTTTGGGATAGGATCTCTGTAGCCCTTGCTGGCTTCTAACTATGTAGTTCAGACTTTTTTTTTTTTTTGGTGGTACTGAGGGTTGAACTTGCTAGGCAGGCACTCTACCACTTGAGCCACTCTGTCAGCTCTTTTTGCTGAAATAGTGTCTCAGTTTATGTCCAAACCAGCCTCCACCATGATCCTCCTAGTTGTGCTTCCCTGTATAGCTGGGATGACAAGTGCATGTTACTATACCCAGACATCGGTTGATGGGGTCTCATAAACTTTTGCCTGGCTGAAAGATTCTCATGATCTCTATCTACCCAGAAGCTAGGATTGTTGGGGATGTAAACTCAGCAGTTTGGTGTTTGCCTAGTATGCACAAGGCCCTTGGTTCAATCCCCAGTACCACAAAAAATAAAATTACTACACTTGATCTTAGCCAAAAGGTCAAGAAGCGATTAAAAAATAAATAAATAAAAATTAATTATTAAAAAATGCTGGGATTACAGGCTTGAGCCACCATACTTGGCCTGGCCTTTAACTTTTGATCCTTCTACCTCAGCCTTCTGAGTGCTAAGATTACAGGTGTGTGCCACCACCCTTGATTAGGTAATACTTTAATTACAGAAAGTTGTAAATAGATTGGCAAGAAAGACTAAGAAAAAAAGGTAGACCTTTTTTTTTTGACAGTCCAGGATTTGAATTCAGGTCTTCACACTTAATAAATGGGCGTTCTACTGCTTGAGCCATACTTCCAGCCAAAGTGGACATCTCTGTCTTTTAATTCAGTGGATCTGCTTTAGTCTTTGCCTTTGCTTAGGCTGAGTTACTTTGACTAGTGAGTATAGATTCAATCCAGTGTTTCATCTTTGTCTGAAAGTAGTTTTAATATATTTATAGAGCCTGTTTAATAGAATAAAATATTTTTTAAATTTTAAGTTGTGGGCTTCTAATAACTACTTTTTAAAATTAATATGGACTGGGATGTAGTCAGTGGTAAAGTACTTGCCAACATATAGGAGGCCATGGGTTTACTCCCTAGCATGTTAAAAAAGAAAGGGCTGGTGGAGTGATTCAGGTGGTAGAGAGCCTGCCTAGCAAGTATGAGGCCGAGTTCAAGCCCCAGTACCTCCAAAAAAATAAATAAAAATTTAAAAAAGGAAGAAGGAAAGGAAAAGGAAAGGAACAGAAAATCCAACTGAACATTAATTTTTCTCTTTTCCCTCCTGGGTGCTTGTGATTGAACCTCTCATAAGTGCTCTGTCACTAAGCTGTACCACACCTGCCCCCAAGCTCCTAAACATCATTTCGAAATAAATTCCTGGCAAATGACACAAACTGAGCAATGAATTATTATCTAGTGAATTATTAAAACAAAATATCATATTAACCATAAGCCAATTTGAGCTCTCATTGATAAAGTCCAATTGTATGCAATAGAGTTATGATATATTGCTCCTTTCCCTGTAGTAAGTTGAGAGACTAAAGTTAAAGTAGATAGTTGTACACCATTTACTTTTTTTTTCTTTTTGCAGTATGGGGGTTTGAACTTGGGATTTCAAGCTTGTTAGATAGGCATGCTATCACTTGAGCCACACCCTGTTTTTGTTTTTTTTAAGTTAGACTTTCACGTATGTCTTTCTTAATTCTGGGAAAAAAAAAAAATTTAAGACCAGAAATACATTTCTTGGAGGAATCTAATTGCTCCATCAGAATGTCATCTCCCCAAGAGAGTGTTCTTTTTATTACCTTATATAAGAAGGGAATCCTGTACTACTTGCCAGACAAGTCCATGCAGAGTAGTCTGGTTTCATGCTCTGTGGTGTTGGGCATAGTCCAGAGCTATCATCATCTTACCTTTCTTTATATCGGCCCCTATACCCTTTTGCATAATCTGTTTTGAATTTAACTCTCACCAAATTGACAGATTTTTATACTCTACTGATTATAATCCTACCTTCTGTCATTTTTTTACTTTTTAAATCTAATTTTTTAAGTAATGCATGAGTACTATACAAAAGAAAAACAACAAAAAAATATGTCAAGAGTAAATTTATTTCTCTGTCATCTAAGGAAGCCTAAGAAGTTGTTTATAGCTGGTAGAGCAGCTTCGTAGTGATAATAGTCAGGCTTTTCTCAGTCTGTTCTACCTTTCTCAGCACCTTTAGTTTGTCTTTTGAAGATTACCTTGTAGTAATGGCTGCTTGAGCTTCAACTATCACAACCTTATTTCATTAAACAGAAGGAAGAAGGAGAGTAAGAAATGTTGCTGTATTTTTTTTTGTCATGCTGGGGATTGAACCCAGGGCCCTTCACATACTCTCAACTGAGCTACATCCCCAGACCACCATTTCTTTCTTTCTTTTTTTTTCTGGTGGGATTGGGGGTTTGAACTCAAGGTTATGTATTTGCAAAGCAAAGCAGGCCTTTGACCACTTGAGCCACATCTCCAGTCCATTCTGCTCTTTTTTTTTCTTTGGGAGATGGGTCTGGTTTTGCTCAGCTGACCTGGAACCATAATCTTCCTGATGGGTCTCCCAAATAGCTAGGATTACAGGTGTAACCCACAGGGAGTGTCACTTGGCTTCTCCTTCTTATAGAATGGAAATTACTCCAATTAAAACCTGATCATTTAAAAAAGAAATCCACATGTGAATAAAATAAAATAAAAAGAAATGGTGTGGAGTCTCCATTCCCACTTCCTGCATGAGGAGCAGGAAATGTTTCTCCCTTTTTTTCCACTTCTTCTCACTTTATCCTGTTATACTAAATTTCTTTCTTGATAAACTTTGCTATTATTTGTACTACAAAAATAAATAAATAGCCAGGTGCCAGTGGCTCACACCTGTAATCCTACCTACTCAGGAGGCAGAAGGTCAGGAGGATTGCAGTTTGAAGTCAGCCTGGGGCAAATAGTTCGAGAGACTCTATCTCAAAAAACCCTTTACAAAAATGGGCTGGTAGAGTGGCTCAAGTTGAAGACCCTGAGTTCAGGCCCCGGGACTGCAAAAGAAAAATAAATAATAGTGTAGTTCTGTTCCTCCTCTTGCTAGATTACAAGTCTTTTGTCACTTAGATGGGAAACCACTTAGATAATAATTCCCTACATGTTGTTTGTTGAGGTACCCCAGCTCCACAAAAATAAATAAATACAGCTGGGCTCCAGTGACACACACCTGTAAATCCTAACTGATCCAGAGACAGAGGATAAGGAGGATTGCAGTCCAGGCCAGCTTGTGCAGAAATTCTCAAGACTGTCTTAACAGAAAAAGCTGAGTGTGCTGGTATGCACCTGTCATCCCAGCTACTTCAGGAAGATTATGGTCTGTGTTGGCCCTGGGCAAAAAACATGACCTATCCCAAAATAACCAGTGCAAAAGGGGCTGAGGCATGGCTCAGGTGGTAGAGTGCCTAGTATGAAGCCCTGAGTTCAAACCCCAACACTGCCAAAAAAGAAAAATAATAAAACCTTTTTTCTTTTTAAGATTATGAAGTAGCTGGGCACCAGTGGTTTATGCCTATAAATCTTGGCTACTTGGAAGACTGAGACTGGGAGAATCACAGTTCAAAGCCAGACCAGGCGAATAGTTTGCAAGACCCTATCTCCAAAAAAAAAAAAAAAAAAAAAATGGACTGGAGGTATGGCTCAAGTGACAGAGCTCCTGCTTTGCAGGTGCAAAGTTGTGAGTTCAAACCCCAATCCCATCAAAATAAAAAGATTCTGAAGTGTTTTATCCCCACAGTAAGGTGTTGAAAACAATAAATATATAGTACTCATGTACTCAGTACCTGGATTTAATCTTAATATTTAACAATTTGATAATTACTAATTTTGATTTTTTTTTTTTCCGTAATGAGGTTTGAACTCAAGGCCTCATGCTTGTTAGATAGGTACTCTACCACTTGAGCCACTCCACCAGTCCTTATTTTTGTTGGGTATTTTTAAGATAGGGTCTTGAGAACTATTTTGCCCTGACTGGCCTCAACTCTGATCCTTGTGATCTCTGCCTCCTGAGTAGCTAGGATTACAAGTGAGAGCCACTGGTGCCCAGCAGCATTCTATCTCTTAAGCCATGCCTCCAACCTTTATTTTTTTGGAGGTACTGTGGTTGAACTCAGGATCTTACTTGCTAGATTGGTGCTTCACCACTTGAACCCTAAATTCCTACCCAATTGTTCTTTGTTCTTAAACAGACACAGTTGTAGGCCCTTTTCCTCGATCTCACTTCTATTTTCATTTTTGCCTCTTTGTTTTTATATCTACATTTTTTTCCCTTCTTTTTGCAGTGGTAAAGATTGAACCCAGGTTCTTGAGCATGCTAGGCAAGTACTCTACTACTGACCTACACCCCCAGCCCAAGGCAGGTCTTTTAATTTTAAAAGAACCAAACCAGAGCAAAATTGACATAGAAATATTTTCCAAGTGAACTAGTTTCACTTCAGTCAGTGACTTCATCATCCAGGAGAACTGTTTAACAATAACTTTTTTTTTTTTTTTGGTGATGGTGAGTGGGGAGGGACTTGCTATGTTGCTCAGGCTCTCAAACTCACAATCCTCCTGCCTTGTTTCTGAGTTGTTGAGATTACAGGCATGTACCCCCACGTTCAGCTAGCAGTGACTCTCTAAATGGCTTTTGAATAGTTGTGTCATTTTCTATAGTCAGATATTTGGGGTGGGGAGGTGTTACTCAGTGGTAGAGCACTTGCCTAGCATGTGTGAGCCTTTGGGTTTGATCCCCAGCACTGTAAAACAAATATATAAATAAATAAATAAATAAGCCATAGTAACAGAAAGTTATTCCAGAATATTTCCCAATGGCAGGTGTTTTGTTCTGTTTTGTTTTGTTTTTGCCATACTGAGGCTTGAACTCAGGGCCTACACCAGCCCTTTTCTGTGAAGGGTTTTTTTGAGATATGGTTTTATAAACTATTTGCCTTGGCTGGCTTCAAACCAAGACCCTCCTGATCACTGCTTCCTGATAGCTAGGATAACAGGTTTGATACCGCATCCAGCTCAAGTTTTTTTATCCTGATGTTTAACCTACAAACCTTGGACTCTCAGCATTCTTTGCCCCTCTTTTTCTGTTTGTGTATAAGGTTTTTCTCATTTTGTAGGGTATCAGTTAGCAGAGCGATCAAGCCCTTTGCAGAACCTGGCCGTCCTCCAGATTGGTTCTCTCAAAAAGTAAGTTACCAAGTTCTTTTATAGTCATTGTGATATGAAGTCAGTTCTTTCCCAAGCTCTGCCTTGTAATTATAAGACTTTTATACTATGAAGTGGTAGAATAGTTGGAAATGCATTTTTCCTTTTATCACTATTTGCTATTGTTATCTATTTATACTCAGTGTTGCAAACTTTTTTCTTTTTCCTTGTTCCTTTTTTGTAAGACGGTGTCACTATTATAGCTCAGACTGGCCTTGAACTTGAAATTCTCCTACCTTAGTCTCCTGAGTGCTGAAATTATAGGCATATACCACCAGGCCCAGTTTATTCATTTATTTATTTTTATTTTTTTTTGGTGGTACTGGGGTTTGAACTCAGGGCCTCATGCTAGATAAGCAGGTGCTCTACCACTTGAACCACTTCGATAGTCCTGTTTCATGTTGGGTATTGTCAAAATAGGATCTCTCGAACTATTTGCTGGACTGGCTTTGATCCTCAGTCCTGATCTCTGCCTCCTGAGTAGCTAGGATTACAGGTATGAGCCACCGGCCAGCACACTTACAGTTTATAAACTCTTTTTCTCAGTGTGGTATAATAGTTAAAGGCCCAGGCTTGGGAATTACACAAATCTGGGTTCTATATGACTCTTCCTAAAAACATTGGACCATGATCCTCAGTTTTCTCATTTATAAATAGAAATAAGAATTGCTTCAGGGGGCTTGTGGAATGGCTAAGTGATAGCGTACCAGCCTGCCTTGCAAGTGTGGGTCCTGAGTTCAAACCCTAGTACCACCAAAAATAAAGAATTGCTTCAGGATTGTTGTAGTTAGTTAATACATGTTAAACATTTAGCTCGTGCCTTGCATGGTAACTACTCAGTAGATATTAGTTGTAAATATATTTGTTATTCAGCTGACTTTCCCCAAATATACAAACTTTAGTCCAGAAGACTTTTTTGTGTCCTGGTATTATTTTGAACTGATTTGCTTACAAAGTAATTTGCTGTCCTATAAACCAACCATATCTTGAACATAGCTCTGTTCACTAAATCTTCCTCTTTTAAAATTCTTTTCAGGCTTGCTCATCACATTTTCACTTTTTTTCCCATAGCATTGTGCTTCTCAATACTCAGAGCTCCTAGAGACCACTGAAACCCAAAGTGAGTATAAAGCCAGGTACTTCAATAAATACAAACCAATGGAAATCTGTTTTTACATCTGCTTATGTTACTGAGTGGTAAAGCTATAGCAATAATTTCTTTGATTAAGTGGTAGAGAAGGCTCATAGAAAGCAAATGGGGGCAGGAACAAATGTTCTCTTATTAAAATGTGTTTGTTTGTTTTGGTTTGTTTTCCCTACAGACGGAAACGGGTGAGAAAGGAGAAGTGGTAGAAAACTGTTGAAGATGTTATTGTTCGGAAACTGACTGCTGAAAGAGTTGAGGAATTAAAGAGAGTGATAAAGGAAACCCAGGAGAGATATAGGTACTTATCAGAGAGCACATCAAATGGTTGGGAATGACAAAAGTGGCTGAATTCTGTTTTATTTTTTTTTGACGGGGGAGGGGAACTGGGGTTTGAACTCAGGACCTCATGCTTGCTAGGCAGGCACTTTACCACTTGAGCTACTCCACCAGCATGAATTCTGGTACCCATTAGAATTTTTTAAATAGCGTATTAAGACCAGGGGTGTGGCTTAAGTGGTAGGACACCTACCTAGCAAGCATGAGGCCCTGAGATCAAACCCTAGTTCAGGCCAGCCTGGGCACCATAGCAAGATCTTGTCTCAAAGAAAGAAAGAAAGAAAGAAAGAAAAAGAAAAGAAAAGAAAACTCTCATTTCTCTATCTCTTTTTCTTTCTATAGACGGCTGAAAAGAGATGCAGAACTAATTCAAGCTGGACACATGGACAGCAGACTGGATGAACTTTGCAATGATATTGCAATGTGGGTTCCATCTGTGCTCTGTTCTCTCTTTTTATCTCTTTTCCCCTCAATCTGGCTTATTTCCTCTGTCTGCCATCCCTTTAAACTTGAGATAGATTCTGGGAAGGAAAAAGTGCAGAGGGGCCTGGTGGCTGGGAGGAGGGAGTAAGGCCTAGAAGGTAATGTGGTAAGACATTTTGATATTAATACATAACTTAATTCTAACTTTACACTGCCTCTGTTTAGCCTGGGCAAAGACATGGGAGCTAGTTCACCCCAATTCCCAGGTTTGCTGATTGTAATTCCTGCTTTGGCCTTTCTTCCTGAAAGGACTGGTCTGGCAAAAATTTTCTGCATCAAGGCGCTGTGTACTATGGAGGGAAGGTATAGCTGACTAGCATCTAATCCTTAATTCCCTCTTTAGGAAAAAGAAATTAGAGGAAGAGGAGGCTGAAGTAAAGAGGAAGGCTACAGATGCTGCATATCAAGGCAAGCCAAACCTAGTGCCAAGTACTTCTCTTTAGCAATCACTTATATAGTACTACATGTTAATGATAGTTGAAGATGGTTTTGTAAAATAGTTCAAATTTTTGTGATGTCTTTTTTTTCCACATCCTACTTCCTTTTTTTAAAAAAACAACAACAAAAAAATTCGGTGCTGAGGATTGAACACGGGATCTTGCTTATGTCTCATATTTTATCAAATCAGTCTTTTTAGTCCGGAGAACAGATCAGTTCAGTTAAACAGATTTGTATCATTTCAGGAGGTGGTGTTTTAGGTAGGCTTCCATCAAAGTTAGACCTGTAGGTGATGTAAGCAAACAGGCTTTTATTAAGAGGCATTCTAGTCTACTAGTATGATTTCAAAGTTACCAGAAAGCTATACTTGGTCAGAGTTTTCTCCCTTTCCAAGTAACCTCATGTTTGCGCCGTGTTCCCCCAGTTGTAGACTCTGGAACAATCAGAATGTTTTGGTCTCCTGGCTGGCTTAACTGTAGGGGAGTTAAAACTTTCCTTCTACTCTGAAGTTTCAATAATTTGTGTCCCTCCAGCACACTGATAAAATAGTAGGAGAAAAGGCATACAAATTTATTATGTGCATATGCACAGGCATCTCCAAATAAGACTCCTGCAGAAGTAGCTCAGTGGTAGAGCACTTGCCTAGTTTGCATGAGGCTCTGGGTTCTGTCCTCAGTACTGAAACAAAGAACTCTTGCTCCTGTCCTCTTTTTTCCTACCAAAATAAAGACATCCCTTAATGTCAAGGAAGAAACTCTTAGAAAATGAGCTCTGCTGAGATCTCACTGGACCTCGAATTTACTTTTAGGACACAAAAGTTGATAATACGACATTGAGCATAATTAAGGTTTTAGAAGCCAAAGGTCTATGAAAAGATAGAGAATAGAACACTCATTTGAGGGGAAGAAATTTAAGCCTTTGCAACTCTTAAGAGTATGTGAACCAACAAGGTCTTTCTCTCTTTTTAAAATCAGAATCTTAAGTTGCTAAAGAAAATAGTGAGGAGTATGTAAGCTGCTTTCCTATTCCAGTGACCTTTAGGATGGATATATAGTTTGCTTGTGAGAATTGCCCTTAAGAAAAATTAGGCTAAGAAATTATCCATCTTCAGAAGTGTTTAAGAAAGCTTTCTAGGGCTGGAGGTGTGGCTCAAGTAATAGAGCGCCTGCCAAGCAAGTGTGAGGCCCTGAGTTCAAACCCCCATATCACCAAAAGGGGGAGAAAAGGCTTTCTAATCCAGACTTACAATGCTGCTTTAGTAATGCAACATTTCTTCTTGTCTTTTATTGTAAAACAGCAGAGTAGTGTCTGTTTCACTTACCTAATCTTGAAGATTTAGACTGTGTTCTCTTTTATGTTTTAGCTCGTCAAGCAGTAAAAACACCCCCTCGGAGGTTACCCACTGTGATGGTCCGCTCTCCTATAGATTCTGCCTCCCCAGGAGGTGATTATCCACTTGGGGACTTGACTCCAACCACTATGGAAGAGGGAACCTCTGGGGTGAGTATATTTCTATCCATTGAAATTGATCTCCAAAGGGTCAATAAGCCAGCAGAGAGCTGAGTGATGAGGAAACCTTTTTTTTGCCTAAAGGCAACTTCTTTTGGTGTGAATGCTAAGAACTCAAGTTATATGTACTGTGCTCTTAAGACAAGGATGGACCTAAAGCATTGAGACTTTTGACATTTTGAGAGATAGGTAAAAAGACTGTTCAGAATTACTACCTAAATATACTAGCCTTACAAAATACCTGCTGAAGTAAGGGACAGTTTCTTTGTAAATATAATAGTGGTAGTGGGTAAAGAGTTTGTAAATGGCAGATGGTCTGGAATGGTTTGGTTACTATAGGATAGTGTGTGTGGAAGAGAAAATATTTCGGGGAAGAAAAACATGGTAGGAGCAGTAGAGAGTATCTGGCATTTCCACTCAGGACTAATAAAATAGTAGTTAGACACACTAACCCATCCAGATTATTAGGGAACCTTCCATAGTTTAAGAAGTCAGATAAAGGTTCTCTGTTGTCTCTTAGGTAACCCCTGGGACTTTGCCGAGTACCCCAGTCACCTCGTTTCCTGGGATTCCTGACACCCTTCCTCCAGGCTCTGCACCCTTAGAAGCCCCCATGACCCCAGTAACAGATGATTCACCCCAGAAAAAGATGCTTGGACAGAAAGCAACTCCACCCCCCTCCCCTCTGCTGTCAGAGCTCTTGAAGAAGGGCAGCCTCCTGCCTACTAGCCCCAGACTGGTATGGAGACTTCTGTGGGTGTTTGAGAGCTGTGGTGATTTAGTACTTGGAAGGGAGTGCCTGGGACCTAAAGTGTGACTTGGAAACAAAGTTCAACAGAGGAAGAGATGTTCTAGTTAAATGTTAATTTAAAAAAAAATAATAATAATACAGTAAGTTGATAGTATCTTTGGGTCCTGAGGTATCTGAACCACAATTATTTTGGTTTTCTTTCCCAGAGAACTCTTGTCAAATAAGTTTTGAACATTAAAGTTACAGAGATTTCCCCTGGTCTTGAATTATTCTCCGTGGATAGTAAGTTTTAGTTTGAAGTTTGATTGACTGCTGTGCTTTTTTGGGGAAGTGATAGTGAAAAAAAAGCTTGAGTGTAGCCTTCACCTTTATTCTTCCCGGTAGGTCAATGAGAGTGAAATGGCTGTGGCTTCTAGCCACCTGAACAATACGGGTGTCCTTCTGGAGGTAGGCGGGGTCCTTCCCATGATACATGGTGGGGAAATACAGCAAACACCCAATACTGTTGCAGCTCTCTCTGCTGCCTCAGGTAAGATACCACTCTGCCTTTATCTATGTCAGAGATGTTGCACTGGGTTTCAGTGTTTGTTATAAGGAAATGTTAATCTTAGATTTAAAGTCCAATTTTTCTGACTTTGTTTTGGAGCTGCTTTGCCTGTTAAGCAACATAGCGCTTGAGATTACTGATTTATTTTGTCTTCAAAATATTGATAGCCCTATAGTGTAGATTTTGATTAGAACAGTAAAATTAGTAATGAAGCTACTTTTCTGTGGCTTCAAAAATGTAGAAGATGCTAGAGATACCTGAGATTATAAATGGGGAAGAGATTTGGAACCAGAGAACTGGGCTTAAATCTCAGGCCTTCCAACACACAAAGGTTTTTGAGATCTGGATAAGTAACTTGCCTATTGAGATTCAGTTTCCTATTGTATTAATTCAGATATATATGCCACATAGGGATGTGGTGAGAATTAAATGATGTAGAAAATGTAAAGCAAAAAAAAAAAAGATTTATAAAGTACTATATAAGCATTAGGTACTGGTATTTGAATGGTGTTGAACTTGTATGATTGCACTATACTGAATCTCAGTAGAATGCTGGTGGGTTTTTTGTTGTTGTTTTATGTTTTAATGTACTGGTGTTTATATTTAGGGCCTTGAGTTTGCTAGGCAGGCACTCTACCACTAAGTCATCCACTCAGCCCACATTCGTTTTTTCGTCATTTGGTTTTTTGCTTTTCAGTTTTTGAGACAGGCCTTACTATATAGTTCAGCCTGGCTTAAAACTCAGTATGTAGCCCAGGCTGGCTTAAACTTGCAGTTCTCCTGGCTCATCCTCCAAAGTGTCAGAGCAGGTTTTTTTAAACTTTGTAATTAGTGACTGTTTAATTTTCCTCTGAGAAAAAAATTATCATTGATTTTTTTGTTTGTTTTGGTGGACTGGGGTTTGAACTCAGGGCCTTGTGCTTGCAAAGCAGGTGTTCTATCTCTTAAACCACACCTCCAGTCCATTTTGCTCTTTGGAGATGGGGTTTGCAGACTATTTGGGCTGGCCTTGAACTGCGATCCTTCCAGTATCTGTCCCAAGTACCTAAGATTATAGGCATGAGCCACCAGTGCCCGTTGTCAATTTATATATACACATTTTGGTTCTGTCTCATTCCTAACTTGGAGGAAGATCTTAGGTGAGGTCAGAGAAAGTAAGGGTATAATGATGAGCTTATTCAACACAGGAGTCAGGAATTGCTTCATCCTTTGAGACCATAAAAAATTTCTTAGTTAAGTCGTAAAGTGGCTATTCCTTCTTATTCATGTGCTTTTTTTACCTTGTTTTGTGTACCTCTTGTCTGTTAGGTGCACCCACTCTTTCCCGGCTTTTAGAAGCTGGTCCTACACAGTTCACACACACCTCTTGCTTCCTTCACTACTGTTGCCAGTGAGCTCCAGTTAAACTTGTGCCACCCTGTAGAGTCTGTGTCCCAGGCTACCATTGTCATGATGCCTGCGCTGCCAGCACCATCCTCTGCTCCGGCTGTCTCCACTCCTGAAAGTGTAGCTCCAGGTGCGTCCCTGACCCGCGCCCTGAGCAGCCACTAGAACCAAAATTTCATTTTGAGTTCAGTGAAAGATGACCCAAAAGCATTAGCTCCAACTCAAATGCTTCTGTTTTGTTCTCATAGACATGTACAATCTTTATCCTTAGAAAACAAGGATGTGAGAAGAGATGGGTGGGTATTTGTGTGCTGGGGTGGGAAATATAAGCAGACTTGAGAATGTGTTTCACCATACTTCTACATAAAATAGCGAGAAGAAAGCATAGATAGATGTAAGTTTCTGACCATAAGTGTGCAGACACTTGGATTTGTCTATAGTTCTGGTATGATCTCTGGGTGGTCACTTAATATTCAAAAAGCTTCTGAGATATATTTCTTTTCCTTTTCAGTGAGTCAGCCTGACACCTGTGCTCCCATGGAGGCTGTGGGGGACCCACATACTGTGACTGTTTCCATGGATAGCAGTGAAATCTCCATGATCATTAATTCTATCAAAGAAGAGTGTTTCCGATCAGGGGTAGCAGAGGCTCCTGGTGGATCAAAGGCTCCAAGCATAGATGGAAAGGAAGATTTAGACCTGGCTGAGAAGATGGATATTGCTGTGTCTTACACAGGTGAAGAGTTAGATTTTGAGACAGTTGGAGACATCATTGCCATCATTGAGGACAAGGTAACTATTCAGCAAAACGCCCAAAGAGAGATTCCTAATAGGCATCTCTCTTCTTCCTCTCTTTGCTTTTTATAGTAAAAATTACTGGGCAGGAGAGGCATGTCTCATGTGGTAGAGTACCTGCCTAGCAAGCATGAAGCCCTGATTTCAAACTTCAGTACTGCAAAAAAAAAAAAAGAAAGAAAGAAAAGCAGAGAAAAAAAGAAAAAGAGACTTACTTAAACAACTCCCTGTTTCTACCCATCTCCATCTGTAGTCTGAGAACCCTTTAGAACTTTCATACTAGTTACCGCCCTAGCTGTCCCTATTTCTGGTTTGTATAGGACAGGTGCCTATCCATTGGTTGCTTCTACTACATGATAAAGATGAAGAAATAAGTTGATGCCATTTCATTCAGTGTTAACAAGACTGAGGGGTGTGGACTTTTTTCTGTGACCTCAACAGTCTTTATATTATGTGACAGGTAGATGATCACCCAGAAGTGCTAGATGTGGCAGCTGTGGAAGCAGCACTGTCTTTCTGTGAAGAGAATGATGATCCCCAGTCCTTGCCTGGCCCCTGGGAGCACCCAATTCAGCAGGAACGAGACAAGCCAGTACCTATTCCTGCACCAGAGATGACAGTCAAGCAAGAGAGGCTGGACTTTGAGGAAACAGAAAACAAAGGGATCCATGAACTGGTAGACATCAGGGAGTCGGGTGTTGAGATCAAGGTGGAACCTGCAGAACCAGAGCCAGGCATTTCAGGGGCCGAAATAGTAGCTGCAATTGGTTCAGCCACAAGTATGGAGCCACCGGAACTCAGGAGTCAAGACTTAGATGAAGAACCCAGAAGTGCTTGCAACTGGAGAGATTTCTGAGCAGACTGTTCCATGTGAAAGGTCATGATGAGATGCCACTTACAGCTGTGAAGACGGAGGTATTAAGATCAGGGACTGGGAAGGATGGAGGGTTATAATTTAGGTAAGAAGTGACAGCTTAGGCTTTTGATTTTGCTGGCATTCCTGAGTCCTTAAATGTTTCATGTATCCAAAAACCACAGGTTGTTGATCAGTATTATATATACTATTTCTTTTCCTGTTAGGGTGACCATTTAGAATCATATTACATGTGTAGGACTTAGGATTTCTTCTATAGTCTTATTTTTTTTCATTCTTCTGTTTTTCACTGAAGAATAAAACTGTGTGTATAGCAATTTACCCATACTTAGGATAGTTCTTTTTTGGTCTTCAGACATCCCCTGAAGTATGTTGTCTCCATCACATGGCTCAAATCTATTTGAAGACCCTTTAGAGCAGAGACTCAGCACAAATTTGAAATGTCAGGTAAATAATGGGCATTAAATGTATATTCTGTAACTAACTTAAAATTACTTGCTTTGGCTTCTGAGGGATTGTGGTTGTGGGCAAGTAGAGAAGGTAGAACAGGGTCAGCATGGAAAGGAAAGCTGCAGGAGATTGTGGTCCATAAGAAGGGAAGGCTAAGATGGAAAATCTCAGGTAGTCTTTCTCTCCTCTGCAGACTTCATTGAAAGAAGAATCAGGACTATTTTTGGAAGCCAGATAAAGGTATTTCAGATTTTTCTTTATTCCTCTTGCCATGTGATTAGATTTCCCCATAGCGCTACCTTTGTAATGGATTTTAGTAAACTCACTTTTTTTATTCTCTGAAATGAGTCTGGTAAGGAGTTGCATGGGGGAAAGCTGCAGTGGACAGTCTGGCATAGTGGGAGCATTTCAAATCCATTTGAAAGGGTTTGTATAGATCACATCATCCTTCTTATGCATATAATGCATGAAGAAGGTTTATACCTAGGATTATTTGGAGTGAATAGAGATGCCAGGGAGAGCTTATAGGAAATATTAGACTATCCAAAGAGAATCATCCAAAGTTTCCTTTTTAGAATTACTAAAGCAATAGTAACAGAGACTTAAAGTAATGCGGTGTGAGCTTGCTCCATCAGATGAGATGTGAAATAAAACTATTTTTGGTAACTTTGTATCCAGGGTCAGAGTTCCTCTCAAGAGCAAGGGGAAAGAAGGAACGCCTCTTAGCTTAGTATTAAGTAAGTAGCTTTTTTTTTTTTTTTTTTTTTTTTCCTCCTTCCTTTTGAAAAAAAAAAAAAAAAAAGGTCCTGGGCTTTATTCTTTGTCCAGGTTCTAAATTACTTTACCTTATTTAGTTAGTGTCTGTAAGTAGAGGGTAGTATAAGTGATAGGGGGCTCAGCCAAGAAACAGTGTGAGGCCACGTCTACAACTGATTTAACCCAATAGACAGATCATGTTTAATGATGCTTTGCTGGATAGCTTTTCAGACATTTGTTGACTGTAGCACACTATGTCTAAGGATGCCCAGGTGAGGATGAGGAAGAAGATGGAGTCAGTGAAGCGGCCAGCCTAGAGGAACCTAAGGAAGAAGATCAAGGAGAAGGCTATTTGTCAGAAATGGATAATGAACCCCCTGTGAGCGAGAGTGATGATGGTTTTAGCATACACAATGCTACGCTACAGTCACATACACTGGCAGACTCCATCCCCAGCAGCCCGGCTTCTTCTCAGTTGTGAGTATCAGATTCTTTCCTTGAGGCAACAAAATGAAGGTGAAAAGTAGGAGAGGATCTTTAATGCCTCATCTTACTTTTCTTGGCCTAGAATAGTTGACATGAAGTAATTAGAGCTGGGCAAGAAAATCTAAAGGAAGATGAAATGAGTGGAGAACAGTCCCATATTTGTATTCTGGATTAATGTCAAGAAAGACCATTGACATAGCCGGGCGCTGGTGGCTCTCATCTATAATCCTAGCTACTCAGGAAACGGAGATCAGGAGGATTGCTGTTTGAAGCCAACCTGGGCAAATAGTTCGTGAGACACTATCTCGAAAAAATACTTCACAAAAAAGGGCTGGTGGAGTAGCTCAAGGTGTAGACCCTGAGTTCAAACCCCAGATTCACACAAAAAAGAAGTAATTAGAAGCTGGGCACCAGTGGCACATGTCTGTAATCCTAGATATTTGGAAGGCTGAGATTGGGAGGATCATGGTTCGAGTCTAGCCCAGTCAAATAGTTTGTGAGACCACATCTCCAAAATAACCAGAGCAAAAGGGACTTGAGGCATGGCTCAAGCTGTAGAGTGCCTACTTTGCAAGCATGAAGCCCTGAGTTCAAACAATAGTGCCACCAAAAAAAAACAAAAAGAGAGTAAACCTGTGCTTAGTAGAATCCCATATCTCTATTTCAGCTCTGTCTGTAGTGAAGATCAAGAAGCTATTCAAGCCCAGAAAATCTGGAAGAAAGCCATAATGCTTGTATGGAGAGCTGCAGCTAATCATAGGTGAGTGGACCTTAACAATAAGTATGTTTATTTTCTCCTCATTCTTGGTTTAGAAAAAAGCCTATAGGAATTGCTGATGTTAGCTTTTAATATTCAGCATAATAAGTTAATTCCCTCCCTTGTGCTTCAGGAGAGTAAGTCAGTAATTGTACCTTATTTCTTTTTGGACAGGTATGCCAATGTTTCCTGCAGCCTGTTACAGATGACATAGCACCTGGCTACCACAGTATGTACAGAGTAAGCCATTGTCCATCAATTATACTGACTTGAATGAATTGTTAAATTGTGTAGACGTCAGTGGATTATTTATTTTATTCATTTATTTATTTATCAGGGTACTGAGCCTTGAACTCATGGTCTACACCTTAAGCCACTCCACCAGCCCTTTTTGTGATAGGTTTTTTTCAAGATAGGGTTTTATGAACTATTTGCCCTGGCTGGCTTTGAACTGCGATCCTAGTGATCTCTGCCTATTGAGTAGCTAGGATTATAGATGCAGTCCATCTCCACCTGGCTACTTTTTTTGGTGGGGGAGCAGATTGGGGTTTGAAATCAGGGCCTCATGCTTGCCAGGTAGGTGCTCTTACTACTTGAGCCATTCCACTAGACACTTCAGTAAATTTTTACTTTTTTTACTTTTTTTGGGGGTGTGTGTATGTGTGATATTGGGGTTTGAACTCAGAGGCTCATGTTTGCTGGGCAGGCACTTTACCTTGAGCCACTCCACCAACCTCTAACTGATGTTTTGGGATGATGGGTTGGCATTTGAGTCTTGGCAGCTAGACTGAAGGTATATGTGAGAATACGTGTATGGTGGTACTGTCTTCAGAGATCTAGATGAGTCTTCTTGCCTCCACTGCCATTTACATCTGTTTTGTACTTTTAGGCCTATGGATTTGTCAACTATTAAGAAAAACATTGAAAATGGGCTGATCCGCAGCACAGCTGAATTTCAGCGTGACATTATGCTGATGTTTCAGAATGCTGTAATGTATAATAGCTCAGACCATGACGTGTATCACATGGCAGTAGAGATGCAGCGAGATGTCTTGGAGCAGATCCAGGTACTTTGAGGTTCTTTGTGTTTCATCAAGGGTGAAGTGAAGATATACTCAAAGGAAGGATTCATATTGAAGATAGGAAGGGTACTGTGGTTTTTACTTAGAATAGGCATCAGGGATACAAGGATATAATATTTTATTCTTGCTCAACCCATGTTGATTTTCTTTGGTTTAATGAAAGAGTTATGATAGGAAATTCTGCCTTTCTTGGGCAATTAAATTCCGCTTTATTTCCAATGCTAGGGATCTAACCCAGGACTGCACATAGGAAGTTGGTTTTTTTTTTTTTTTTTTTGTATGTGGTTGGTTGGTTGGTTTTGTTGCTGGGATCATAGGGATCATTTTTCAGATAGGGTCTGGTGCTAACTTTGCCTGGGCTGACCTTGAATCACAGTCCTCCTATCTGCTACCTAACTGGAATTATAGGCATGCACTACTATGCCTGGCTTTTTTTTTTTTTTGTAACTTTTTTTGTTCGCTTTTGGGGTACTGGGGTTTGAACTCAGGGCCCTAGGCAAGCGCTCTACCACTGAGCTACATCCAGCACCTGCATCTATGTTTTTTAGTTACACCAAGTACACGCAAGCAAAAGAGTTTCATGTTCCTTTTTATTACAAATAGTCTCCTTTCATCGTATATTTGTGTTACCAAGCACCCTTTGAGATGTTGATCTTAAAGAAATAGTGTATCTTTGCAAAGTCTACCAAGTTAATTTGATTGTTGAATGGTCTTTAGTTCATCTATTCTTATTCTTACTCTTATTCTTAGAAGATAGAAATTTTGATTGGGTATTTAGCAAAAAATGTAAGAGCTATTTGGCATTTTTGGATTCTTTGGAATGCCTATTATGCTATAATTAGAACTTCATATGCTAAACTTTCAATAAACCAAAAAGTATTTGAGGAGAAGGTATTGTACAAAGTCCTATTTACAAAGCCTAAAGTGTTTTAATTTTTCCCTACTGGATCAGGTCTCTATGGCCAACCCTGTTTCTTCTCCCTACAGCAATTCTTGGCCACGCAGTTGATTATGCAAACATCTGAGTCTGGAATCAGTGCTAAAAGTCTTCGAGGGAGAGATTCTACCCGTAAACAGGATGCTTCAGAGAAGGTGAGGAGAATAGGAGAGAGCCTGTTTGCCAGTGTTCCAGTGCTAGAAGTCTAAAGCATCCAAAGAATCTTACATTACTACTTGATATTGCCAAGCTCCTACATTCCAATGATGCAAAGCACATAAATCTTAGAATGATAGTTTAATCCCATCCAAACATTGGAGAAATATGCTATGACTGAGAGGCCCAGTTTTATGGGAGAAATTTTGAGTTGAATGAGTGAATTAATTCCTTTGGTGAGATTGCTACAGCACTTGGTGACCATCAGTTCCTGTTTCAGAGTCATAATGGCTAGATTGCTTTTGGATCTCTTTCCTCTTGTTCTTGAGTTTTTAAATTTTGTCTTTGTGTGTATGGTGCTTGTGTCTCTATCTTGAGATTTGGGGTGCTTGTGGCTGGCTGAGAGTTTCTGTGGAACCTGATCAGTGTTTGTTTGTCCTCTAACAGGACAGTGTCCCCATGGGCTCTCCTGCCTTCCTTCTCTCTCTCTTTGTAAGTATTGAATGGCTGCAAGGGGTGGTGTTGCCAGAAAGGTTCTCAGCTCCTGCTGGGGGTGGGTGGTAGAGGGAAATCCAACATGCAGACTATGGCAGTGTCTTGAAATTCTTTTTATTCAGGTCATTGAATAAGAACTGTCTTTCTTCTTCATTCCTGTCTTTTTGTGTGTGTGTGCTCGCGCGCAGGCTGAGAAAGGATTATTGTTTATGAGATCACTGGGCTGAAATACATTTTCCTGGGGTAAAAAATCTAGGATGCATCTGCTCCCCATTTCTTGACTCCACCTTTTACCAGTTATTTTCTTACAAGTAGAATTCACAAAGCAGCAGCTGCTACCTGGCTTTTAAACAGTGTTCCTTATACTGGCAGATATTTAACACATAGTTTTTCTCTTTTCTCCTAAAATTAAGTTGCAAGACTGATGCCTGATACACACTCAGTAAAACTAGCTAAAAATCTTAGTAGCAATGATGAAGATATACAGTTGTAGCCCATGGAATTACAGATAAGCTTAATAGAGCTAGCCTAAAGACTTTTATTCTTTTACTCCATGAATTAAATGACTCTCTGGATCTATGTTGTTCATTATGGAACATTGAAGCATAATAGAAGAGGCATCAGGCTAAAAAAAAACTACATCATCTTAAGGTCATTGGATAATCTTTTGGGGTCTTTTTTTTTCTCATCTCTGTGATAGAACTAATAAAACAATGAGGTACCTGTCCAGCCTACCTCACAGGGATGTTGTGAGGATAAAATAAATATGGAACTGGCTTGGAGAAAAAAAAAAGAAAATTAAAGTGTTACAAAAATGCAAGGTGTTATTTTTATTCTTACTATTGCCTCATAGGCAGCTTCGGTTCATGAACTCTTAAAAATTTTAGAATCCTTGCATACTAGAAATGTAACAGTGGTCCGGCCCAGCGAAAGTGTTCACTAGTTCACCTTGTGTACAGGCCTCTCAGCCTGTACCACAGACAGAACACTATGATCTCCGTTCTTATTGGCCTGCAACAGTGACTCTGGATCCCCAAGCAATTGGCTGACTATATTGCAAGGCTGGTTAATAGGATCTTTTATCTATTGAAGACAGCAAACTGTTGCACAAGAGGAAGGAGCTGGGCTGCAGGGAGAGAGCAGCAGATGGAAAGAAGCCTGATTGTCCTGATCTCATGGAAAACAACTGTCAGGAGGTGCTAGGGAACTAGTGCCAGGGTCAGTCTGCAGGAAAGGCCTTTCTTATAGGGACCAACAGCTGGACAGGTATGTTAGCCAAGAACCTCACTATCCACTGCCCCTTCTGATTCTCCCACCTTTCATTTACTCTTCCTGTTCCCTTGCACATGATTTGGGCCTGGGTGGGATGACAAATAGTCATTCTGTGGGTCCCCAGGTGAATTCCAAGGACCTTTGTGATGGGCATGAGCAAGATACTCTGTCCTAAATTTTATCTCACAAACTACCAGGTGTTCTTTTAGCTACTCTGTGGGAAGACAGAAAGTGCCCTCTCACCCCTTTGGAGTTTTCTGCTGATTCTTTCCTCTCCCCCAAGATACCAAATCCCCAGCATTCCTGTTATATCTTGTCTCTTTCCTCCTAAACAACTCACTCATGCTCCCATTCTTTCTCTGTTATTATGTAGGATGGGGGAACCAGGGGACGCCGTTGTGCCATTGAAGCAGATATGAAGATGAAAAAGTGAAGCTTCATAGAGTACCTGCTTTGAGCTGAACCTGAAATAGAAGTAAACAAGATAGAGCTTGGGCTTATGGGCCCAGTTCCACACTTGATCTTAGCCAAAAGTCCAAGAAGTGATGTGAGCCCAGTTACGGAAGCAGGAGTTAAAGAAGCAGAGACATCTGGGCCAAATGCCGTGAGCTGAGAAAGTCTCTCTCAGAGAGTTGGAGTAACACAGTTGCCTGTTTTAGGGCAAAAATCATGGGCCTGTGTTAATGCCCTAATTTGTAGCTAGCAGATTGTAACAAGGTTGTACTGTCTTGTGAAGTGTACAGACTTTTTATAAAAAATAATAATAATAATAAACCTGTGAAGTGTGTGCATATACAATAAACTGAAAAAAAAACCTCTAGCCTTTGGTGTGTTCTTTGTGTGTGTGTGTGTGTGTGTCTTTGTATCTGTGTATGTGAAACTTGTGGTTTCTTCTACATGATAACAATCGTTTATGGGAATGAGATTGTTAGAGCTGAAAAGTGGTCTAAGCTGGCTGCTAAAGCCATGAGGAGGTAAGTAACTGGGATTTAATTTATAATTAGTGTTTTAAAATAATGAATTGTGCAATAAGGACTATCTTATTCAGCTTTTCTTGCATGAGAAAATTTAATGGATATAGGTAGTATTGAACTTTATCTCAGTAACATGTTACCATGTAACACTATCTTTGTAGTCGATGTTACTTCCAGGATAGGTTATTACCATTTCTGTACTATTAGTATGGGTTGGGCTCTTTCATACAGAGTTCTTTTTGTTTGTTTATTTTGTTTTGGAATCTCCTATGTTGCCCAGGCTGGGCTGGAACTAACAGTCCTCCAGCCTTAGCCTCCCAAGTAGCTGAGATTACAGGTGTGCATCATCATGCCTGGCCTGGGGTTCTTAACATTGTTGCTTGAAGACTAACCTTAGTTTGTAAGTTACAAGATTTTGAGTTGGGTGTGTAGTTCAGTGGTAGAATGTTTGCCTAGCATGTAGAAGACCCTGGGTCAATCTCCAGTACTAAAAAAAAACAAATTTTTCACCTGAGTTCTATTACTAAATAACTTCAAATTTTTTCATTCAATGCCAGGCACCAGTAGCTCATGCCTATAGTCTTAGCTATTTAGGAGGCCTCTGTCTCCTGATCCAATCAGGAGGATTGTGGTTCAAAGCCAGCCTGGCCCAAATACTTTGCAAGATCCTATCTTAAAAATAATAAGAAAGGACTGTTGAAGTGGAGATGCTCAAGCATCTGTCTACCAAGTGTGAGGCCCTGAGTTCAAACTCCAGTACCACCAAACCAAATTTTTCATTCAAACCGGGTGCCCATGGCTTACACCTATAATCCTAGCTACTTGAGAGGCTGAGATCAGGAGGGTCTGATTTGAGGCCAGCAGGGGCAAATAGTTTGTGAGACCCCCATCTCCAAAATACTCAGAGCAAAATGGACTGAAGTGGCCCAAGTGGTACCAGCACCTGCTTTGCAAGCATGAAGAAGCCTTGAGTTCAAACCCCAGTCCCACCAAAAAAAAAAAAAAGTAGTGAACTAATTATGAGACTATTATAAATAGATGTTTAGAAGTTACAGGTCAGGGAGTCTTTGCTACCATTTTCTACTGGGGAACAGGAAAAAACTTCCCCCCGCCCCATACTTTATCCTGTTACACTAAAATAAATCCTTGCTAAAACTTTAAAAAATAAAAAAAGTTACAAGTTGGCCTGGGGGCATGGGTCAAGTGGTAAAGTGCCTGCCTAACAATGGTGAGGCCTTGTGTTCAAACCCCAGTACTGAAAAAAATGTCAGGTCTTTTTGCCTTAAATGTAACTATAAAGCTTGTTAAGAAGGTAAGGAAGTAGAAGATAACAGTCTTTGAGGTAATGGAAAAGGATTCAAAACAATCCACAAACAGATGTGTTAGGAACACTGAAGCACTAAAAGTTGGAAAAGTCGAGATATTTTAAAGGACACAGATTTGGGTTTGGTAGAGAAGGTGATGGATGAGTTTAGCAAGCCCAGTTGATGGTATAGGCATCGGTAGTGGGGGCAATAAAGACACAAATTAGAACAGGAATCCTACTAAGGAATAATGAAGTTACAGATACCAGTCAAGGAGACAAAGCAGAAGCTAAACTTAAGGATGACTTTGAATGGCAGGCTGAGAAATTTGTATTTAAGATAGCTATTCTAAAGCTTCAATAGAGAGACTGTTGAGAGCAGATTGTACTAAAAATAGAGAAACTGACCAAGAAAGTGGCATTTGTTCAGGAACAGACACTGAAAAATCATTATGGAAGAAAGTTGAGAAGAGGATTTGGCTTACTGAATATAAGAGAAAGGGGTCAAAATGGAATTTTGAGTTCTTATAGATAAAAAATAGTAAGGTTAGTGATGGGGATAAGAAAACTGAGAAGATCATGTGATCTTGGAGAGGAAAAAACATTAGTTTTAGAAATGTTGGGTTGAAGCACATGGCAGGGTATCTAAAGGGAATTGACTTTTAGATGTATGGAGAAATGAGATCAGAATGCATGTAAGAAGTGAAGGTGGCTGGGCACCAGTGGTTCACGCCTGTAATTCTAGATACTTAGGAGGCAGAGATGAGGAGGATTGAAGTTCAAAGTTAGCCCCAGGCAAATGGTTCTCAAGACCCTCTCTTGAAAAAAACCACAACAAAAGAGGGCTGACAAGAGTTGCCCAAGTGGTAAGATCACCTGTCTAGTAAGTGCAAGGCTTTGAGTTCAAACCCCAGTGCTGCAAAAAAAAAAAAACCAAACACCTAAAGGTAGAACCAAGCATGATACATACCTGTAGTTGGGGCAGGAAGATCTCAAGTTTAAGGGCAAAGTGAGACTATCTCAAAAAATAAAAACAGAGATTTGGGAGCCATCTGAACAGAGGACAAAGTTGAAACTTCAAAGTATGCATCTTTTAAAGAAATTAATAAGAAAATAAAGGACAGGCAAGAACAATACAAGGAAAAAACTTTATTGAAAGTTGTAAAAGAGAAAAGACAAAAGACATAAGAGACCCAGTATAGTGTAAGATGTTTTCAAACGTAATGTTTCAGTTTTTACTCTGAGAAGTGACAGTTGGATATGACCAGAAGAATGGCAAAGGTAATCTTTAAGGTATTTTGAGAATGTAGTGGTTAATAGGTTAAAAATACATACACATTGAGGAAAATAAACCCTTTCCCCTCAAGTTTATTGCTTTGTAGTTGAGTTTATGGGTAATTTGGGGTAGAGGAAGTCTGTTAACCTACCTATGCTCCAGTTCTTCCCTTTCTTTTGAAGGATGAGGAAATCCAAGTAAAAAACATTGGATAATATCTTTATTGACATGAAGCTTTTTCTTATTCCAAAAACCAAAAATCACTTCAACTCCTAATGTCTCTCATTAACTAGTTTTTATTCTTCCTAATGAATAGAAAGAAATGTCTGGTCCTGTTCTATTGAACTTAAAAGATGGAGATGCCTTAAGAATATTGATTTGAATTAATTTAGCACATTTTTTCTATGTATTTAACAGATGGGGCGTGAGTGGGTTTGGTTGGATTCTGAGCAAGACTATCCCAATGACTCTGAGTTGAGCAACGACTGCAGGTCCCTCTTCAGCTCATGGGACTCCAGTCTGGATCTTGATGTAGGAAGCTGGAGAGAAACTGAAGATCCAGAGACTGAGGAACTAGAGGAAAGCAGCCCAGGAAGAGAGCCTAGTGAGCTCTTTGTGGGAGATGGAGACAGTGAGGAATCTCAGGAAGAGGCAGAGCAAGTCAACCGCCAGAACCTCCTCCACTTTCTCTCTGAGGTAATGATGAGGTATTATTTCAAAACTCATGGTCCTACTACCTCAGCCTGTCAAGTGCTGAGGTTTATAGGCATATGCCACTGCACTTGGCTCAACTTTTAAAGAGAATGCTTATTCTTACATGTTCGTTCTTCTTAATATTTTTTACTAAATATAAGCTCTAAAGTGACAGCACTTGGTGCTGACATAGAATATACACCTAAGACATACCTTTTCTGACTCAGTGTTCTAAGACACTAATAGTCTTTAGGGCCTGAGTCCTAGAAAGTAGAATTTTTATATGCAGGACTGCCTTATGAGTATCCTTGCAATTCATTTAAGGGTTGAGTGCCAGAAATAGATAGATTTGGGCAGACATATTTATCCTGCAAGTGAATACATTCAAGAGAACCTAGGTCAGGATCAGCAAGTATCCAGTTCAGTTGTTTCCATTTCTCTCTGTAACAGACAAAATTTTCAAGTTTTCTAAGTATTCACTCCCGATTGATCAGAGTTGACATTTCAAATGAAAAATTTAGAACTTAAGCTCCTGGAAGAGGAAAGAACTCTAACTTATTCATTATAATATCACAAACAGCTGACCCAGTCTGTGTGTATATGGGCCATTTTAAATTTTAAGTGATTGAATGGGTTAACTAAACCTATATGCTGTATCAGACTTAAGTCACAGTGACAGTATAAGCATGTGGCAAAACTCATGGGTGGATAATGGTTTCCATTGATGTTCCTATGCATGTAATAATAATAATAAACTTTGATTATAGGTAGCTTATTTAATGGAGCCATTGTGCATTAGCAGCAAAGAACCAAGTGAAGGCTGCTGCCCTCTATCTGGTACCAAGCAACAAGAGGGAAGTGCAGTTGAAGCTACTGAAGGAGATGGGGAGCCCTCCAGAGAGACTGAAGAGCTTTTAGCCAAGATAGACCCCTTGGCAGCTGAAAAGAAGTTACTCGGAGAATATAAAAAGCCAGAGGTGATTCCAGACCCCTCAGATATTTGTGCCATTCAGGAACTACCTACAGAGAGTGAAGAGGTAAGTGAATAAATTACTGTCTGATTGATCTTCATAGGGAGGAAGAGCAGTGGTCAGAGCTTAACTCCAGAGCACATAGCTGTCCAAATTCTGGTTTTAGCACAAGTTTCAGCTGTGTGATTTTAGGCATGTTATTGAATATTTTAAAGCATCAATTTTCTCTGCTGTAAACCAGATATTTGTGCTCTACTTTGTAGGCTTGCTTAAGTGCGACAATTGCATACACCTATATGTAGTCCAAGCCACTCAGGAGGTTAAGGTGGGAGGATCACTTCAATAGCATGGGAAACAATTTAGTAAGATCCTGTCTTGAAATAAATGAATAAGTAAATAATCCTAGTTACTGGGATGGTTGAAGATCAGGAGGATCAGGGTTCAAGGGCAGCCCAAGCAGATAGTTAGCAAGACCTCATCTCAACTAATAAAAAGCTGGGTGTGATGGTACATGCCTGTTATCCCAGAAAGTATAAATAGGAGGATTGTGGTCCAGGCCTACCTGGGCATAAAGCAAGACCCTATTTAAAAAATAACTACCGCAGCAGGATAGCACCTGCATAGCAAGTGCAAAGCCCTGAATTCAAATCCCAGTACTGCAAAAAAAATAAAAATCTAAAGTCAAAAAGAATGCCAGCTGGCAGTGTGGCTCACATGGTGGAGTGTCTGCCTAATAAGCTTGAGGCCCCGAGTTCACCCCCCACTCCCAAAAAAAAGAAATAAATGAGACAATTCATGTCAAGCAGTTAAGACAATGCCTGGCTCATAGTAAATAATCAGTAAAATTTAGAATCTCATTTTTGTTTTGTTTTGTTTTTGGCAGTATTAAGGTTTGAATTCAGGACCTTAAGCTTATTAGGTAGGTGCTCTACCACTTGAGCCACATCCCTAGTTATAATTTGATTATTAATATTATCTGACCAGCTGCAGTAGCTAACTCCACAAGTGATATTGTTAATTTTTAAACAGTCCAAGATCCGACTACAACTGAGTAAACAATTTATTTAGGGGAGTAGGGATAAGGCAAAGTAAAAATTCTTCAGAAATATTATTACTAAGAATTCTTTGACTTAAATCTACTTAAGTCAACTTTCTCTAATTTCTTTTGTAGCTTTATATATAATTGACCTCTTCTCACCTTAAGGTCAGCCTTCATTTACTCTGTGCAGGTATAATTACTATGGGATAATATATCTCTTTCTAAAGTTTCATATATTTCCTGGAATTTCCAGGGGGAGGCTCAGCAAGACTCCAAAGAGGAGGAACAGGGTGAAGGGTATGTTTCAGAAATGGAAGAACAGCCCCCTTCAGGTGACTATGATGATGGTTTCAGCATTCAGGAAACTCCCCTGGTGGATATCCTTTTGAGCCGTGCTAACTCCTCAAAACTGTAAGTATAGAGCTGGGGGTGTAGCTCAGTGGTATGTGCTTGCCTAGCATTTGGAAGGCCCTGGGTTCAAACCCCAACACCACAAAAATAAATACTTAAAAATTTTAGAAGTCTGTGAATGATATTTATCCAAGATTGCAAAAATTCATACTTTTTTTTGGCAGCATTAGGGTTTGAACTCAGGGCCTCATGCTTGCTAAGCAAGCACTCTACCACTTGAGCTACTCCACCAGCCCAGAACTCATACTTTTAGTTATGTTTATGGCTATTTGAATTTGTTACCATGAAATGGATTACTTTTATAAGTTAAAAAAAAAAAAAAAAAGCCCAGCACTGGTGGCTCATGCCTGTAATCCTCGCTACTCAGGAGGCAGACCATCAGGAAGATCAGCACAAGCCAGCACAGGCAAATAGTTCACAAGACCCTATTTTGAAAATATCCAACAAAAAAAAGGGCTGATAGAGTGGTTCAAGTAGAATGCTGAGTAGAGTATCTGCTAAGCATTCACAAGAGCCTGGATTCAATACCCAGCATTACACACACACACACACACACACACACACACACACACACAAAAATAAACCCAAGAAAAACAAATTAAGAGTCTCTTATGCAAATAATCCTTCTAGCTTCATTTATCCAGGAAACATTGCTAAGTCAAATTGTTCCTTAAGTCCAATATCATGCAAATATAACTCTTTTAAAACTACTGAAACAGTCTTTATGAACTTGAAAATTTTAAATTATTTTTAAATTTATGCTTTCCCTTGTTTCTTTTTCACATATCTTGGGAAAATGTTTTTATAATAGTCTCATCTTTTTTTTTTTTTGGTGTGGGTGGTTGATACTGTGGTTTGAGCTCAGGGCTTCGAAGGCATTCTACCATTTGAGCTACACCTCCAGCCCAGTCTCATCTTTTTATGGATAGTTATGGCCTAAAGACCACCTTGCTTACTTATTTGTTTGTTTTTGAGTCAGATAATTGAGTCAGTTCAAGCCCAGGGTAGCCTTGAACTCACAATCCTCCTGACTCATCTTCTCAAGTATAGGAATTATAGGTGTTGAGCCATCACACCTGGCAAGACCACATTTTAGAACCTAATTTTTTTGATGACATAAATTACTTTTTAAATCAGAAAAACAAGGGTTTTTTTTGTTACTATAATAAATAAATAGTTCTGAGCTTGTTCTCAAATTTATTGAGCGAATATAGTATGAACTGATTTTTTTTCCCTACATCTCATATCTATTCACATTATCTGTAGAAGGGGAAAACTAATACTCTAGTGTTCTCTTGTTTAAAGTATACAATTGAACCATACATACATTTATTTCAGCCAGGCACCAGTGTCTCAAGCCTGTAATCCTAGCTACTTGGGAGGCTGAGATCAGGAGGATCTAGGTTAAAGGCTACCCAGGGCAAATAGTTCTCAAGACCTCATCTCCAAAAAAATAACTGGAGCAAAATGAACCTGCATTGTAAGCATGAAACCCTGAGTTTAAACCCCAGTCCTACCAAAAAAAACCCCAAAAAAACCAAAAACCAAAAACAAATCCTAGCAGACTTCAAATTTTTGTTAAACAAATAGAATAGCTTAAAACTTAACTTGGGGGGAAGGGTGGCCCAAACAATGTATAAACATGTGAGTAAATGTAAAATCGGTTAAAAAAGGAAAGAAAAAAAGAAATTAAAAAAAAAAAAGAGGATATACAAAGGAAAAAAAAAACTTAACTTGGTGAAGGATTACTTCATTTACTTTTCTGTAATTCCCTATGTAGGAATGAGCAAGAACGTGCCTAAATGGCATGTGGTAATGATACAAAAAGCAGGGAATCTGCAATATTTTATGTCATTACAGTGTAGCCTCTTTATTTTTTCTTGTGATAGTAGGGTCTCACTCTTGATAGGCAGGTGCTCTGCCACTTGAGCCACTCCACCAGCCCTTTTTTGTGTTGGGTATTTTCAAGGTAGGGTCTTTTGAACTACGTGCCTATGCTGGGCTTTGAACTGTGATCCTCCTAATCTCTGCTTCCTGAGTAAGTAGGATTACACTCATGAGCCACCAGTGCTCCATATCTGCTCACCTTAGAATTTAGGTTAAACATAAAATCTTTTTTGTTGTTGTTGCACTGTGTAGCCCAGGCTGGCCTTCAATTTTTGATCCTCTGCCACAGCCTTCTAAGTTCCATAATTATAGGCATGTACCACAATAACTGGCCCAGACATGAAATCTTTATTATAAAGATTAGTGTGAGGCCTAGAGTTCAGTCACCAGTACTGAAGAAAAGAAAGAAACAAAGAAAACAATAGATATAACTTGAGGTGTCACATGCTTATAATCATTGCACTCTAGGAGGCTGAGGCAGGAGAATCACAGGTTTGAGACCAGCCTGGAGTACATAACCTGTTGCAGGCCAGCCTAGGCTACATAGTGAGAATTTGCTAATGGAGGCATTAAACATTGTTGGTATTATATTCTTTCAGATGTTAATTAGAAGCACTATGTCTTGGGGTACCTGGGGAGACAGAATTACCTACCTGGGAAGACAGAATACCATTTGTGAAGTTACTGTCTCTTTTCTGTCATGTTGTATCCTTAGGACTGATCTAAGCCAAGGTGACCCTATTCAGAATCATTTGCTATTTAAGAAGACTCTTTTGCCAGTCTGGAAGATGATTGCCAGTCACAGGTAGGTAGGTCTCCAAAATGGTAATAGGATTATGTTCAGAATAGAAGCATTAGCACATTAGAGCTTAAACATAAAAGGAGGTATGCTCATTCCTCACATGAGCCATAGTTGAGAAGATACTGTAGGGTTGGAGATGTAGCTCAGTGGTAGAATGTTTGCCTGACATGTGCAAGGGCCAGGGTTTACTTCTCAGGACTGCAAGTAAACAAAATGCTTCTTCCCTGAGAAGAAAATACTATTATCTAAGACTTGTTTAACCATAAGTACCCATAGCTACTTTCACTAGTCTGTAGGAGAAATTATTGCTGTACTATTTGAATTGCCTCTAGAAATTGGTTCCTGAAACATATCTTGTACTTAAAATATTTACACCTCTTTCCAGTATGGTGGATTCTCTTTTTTCCACAGAGACAGGGTCTCAAGAACTTTGAACAAATTTGTGAGCCCTAAATAAATAGATTATAATAATAGTTAAATACTTCGGTTTTTTTCCCATGCTATTTCTGTTTGGCAAGAGGAAACTAACATTTCTTTCTAATAGTGCTCACAATGTGCATTCCCCTAAGGGAAGGCTAATAAGAACTGAGCCATTCTCTGCAGTTTTAAAATATTTTTGTTCACAGCCAGGCTTTCTTTGTCCTCTCTGGATTTGTCCTTAACAGGTTCAGCAGTCCATTTCTGAAGCCCGTGTCAGAAAGGCAGGCCCCAGGATACAAAGATGTGGTGAAAAGGTCTGTGGAAAAGGGGTCAAGAAAAGTTGGTTGCTTTTTTATCTTATCTTTTCATTCTTTATTTTCCCTGTTAGATTATTTCCTTATTTTATTTACATTACTTACAAACTGAAGATATATTTTACAGCTTAACAAGTTTGTAAAGTTATGATAAATTCAAAGTCTTTGTTTAAGAAGTAATACAGGGAACAAAAAAATGATACAGGTTTTTAAATTTTTTTGTTTGCAGTATTGACCTTTAAAATAATATCCGTTCATTTTTTTTCTTTCTTTTTTTTTTTTTTTTCATGACACTGGAGTTTGAATTCAGGGCCTCACACTTGCTAGGAAGGTGCTCTTATCGCTTGAGCCACTCCACCAGTCCCTTTTTTGTATGGGTTTTTTCAAGATAGTATTTCACAAACTGTTTGGGGGCTGGCTTTGAACCTTGATCATCCTCATCTCTGCCTCCTAAGTAGCTAGGATTTCAGGTGTGAACTACCAGCACCCAGCTGTTTTTTTTTTTTTTTTTGAAGTGGGGTTTCACTATGTTTCCTGGGCTAGAGTGATCTTCCTAGCTCAGTTTCTGAGTACCTGGAACTATAGGCATGCACCACCATGCCTAACTTATGCTCTTAAATTAACCTTTTTTTCCTCTCCATTTTTATTAGGATATATTCATTGTACAGAAGGAATTCATTGTGACAATTCTGAATAGCCTTAGATTGTACATTGGGTAGATTGCCTCCACCATCTCCCCCCTGCAATCCCCTCTCTACCCCTCTTAAAGCAATTGCAAGAGGTTTCATCATTCTGTTTCGTATATATATGTGCTCATCAGCCATATTCCCTCACCTTTATCTCCTCCACTCACCTCCCCCCTCCACAAGTACCTATTTTACAGTCATGTCTTTCATTATTATTAAATTAACCTTTGATCTTTTTTTTTTTGAGACAGTCTTGCTATGTAGCCCTGGCTGGCCCTCCAACTTGCGATCCTTCTGCCTGAGATTCTATCAAGTGCTGGCATTATAGGTGTATATACCACCATGCCTGGTCCTTTGATAGTTTTTCTCTTTTTTTGTTTTTGTTTTTTAGGAGGAAGCAAAGATTTATTAGGTTGCTATTGATAGGGAATAGAATGGCAGGCTACTAGGTAAAGGAGCACAGCATAGACACAAGGTTGAGAATAAGTTTTATACCTTGGGTTAAAAATGACTCTCTCTCTTTTTGTGGACCTTACTGATTGGTTGTCTCTTCCTAGGATCATGGTTTCAATTTCATGCATGGGGAGCTTGGCTTTTACTTCTGTGTTCCATCTTGGCCCCCCAACAGGCCGATCCATCCCCCTACATTCCATCTGTTCCTTGGTATTCCTTTGGCCTCCTCCATATTCCCCCTTGATAGAACAACAAAAACAATTGTGGTTTAAGTGGAATGGAGGTCTCATCTTCTTATAACTACTTCAAGCTGGGTAAGGTTGTAAAGATGTCCCTGCCTGTGTATTTGCAGAAGATCATGGAGCAGTCCATGGGGACATGGCAGGGACTAACTGAATACCAGAATAAAATTGTACGGAAGCCTGGTCCACAGTGTTAAGAAGCACTATCCAGTGGGGTCAGGTGGTAGAGAATGGAACCCATGTTGTAGCATCATTTGTAATTGGCACTGAAACTCCTTCCACAGGACAGAAATAATCCTTCAGCAGAACAGAAATGATGTCTAAGGAGTTGATGAGAGGATTTGAAAGTAAAAGCATGAGAAGAGAGATAGGTCCCCTCTAGCATTGAAAGGCTTGCATGACAAGCTTCCACTGCTAATTATACCATGTATTGGAAGTAGGGACTCGAGAATGGAGAGGACAGACACACTCTTTACCCTTGTGGACTGTAGGCAGATAGACCCATTTTCCCAAATTTTCTTTCTTTCTTTTTTTTGTTTTACTAGAGAATTTCTCTGGCCAGAGACCCACAAATAGCAGGAGAAGTAGGTCATTCCACCGAAGAGTCTGTATAACTCTCAGATCCTTCGTTTCTAAGATGACAGGTTCTAGACACCCAGGAAGAGGAGACCTTTTGGATCTTACCAGAGAGTCACCCTGACCAGAGACCTGCAAAATTGTCTTCAAGCCCTCATGCAGTACTACCAAAGGTCTTGAGTGAAAAAGAAAGGAGGACTGGTGGAGTGGCTCAAGTGGAAGAGTGCCTGCCTAGAAAGCACAAGTTCAAACTCCAGAACTACCAAAAAAAAAAAAAAAAAAAAAGTTCAAATTTCCATATGGTATAGGACCCCCCACACCATTAATCTTTGTCAATGCCACTATTCTATGTTGTGGATTTGGGGAACCATGGGTTGGTTAAAAAAAAAATTATCAAAACAGAGTAGGAGAAAGCAAAGATTTATTAGGACCCATTGACAGGTACTATGCAAAGGAGCATAATGCGTATTAGTTTTTGACACTATTCTTTTAGAGTAAAACTTTAAAAGGGACCCTGTATTCATTCAGGCAGTTACTTATAGGATACTAACATGAAGATGTTAACACAACTGAAAATCAGTATTTTGGATTTTAGTAGCATAGTTCATTTAGAGTGCTGTCATAGAACTAGACGCTGGAGCTCACATCTGTAATCCTAGCTAATTGGGAGGCTGAGATCAGGAGGATCAAGGTTTGAGGCAAGCCTGGAAAATAGTTCATGAAACCCCCATCTCCAAAATAACCAGAGCAAAATGGACTGGAGGTGGGGCTCAAGTGGTAGAGCACCTACTTTGTAAACAAAGCCCTGAATTTTACACAAAAAACATAATAATAAATTTTAAATGCTGTCATAAGACAACATGGTAAATAAAAATATAAATGATGAAAGCACCTTTGGAGACTGTCTTTTTTTGTGCTGGTATGACAAAATACCACAGACTGAATATTTTATAAACAATAGCAATTTATTTCTCATGGTTCTGGAGGCTGGGAATTCTGAGCTCAAAAGACCAGCAGGACTAGTGTCTGGTAACGAGCTGTTCTCTGCTTCCAAGGTGTGTCTTGCTGCACCCTCCAGAAGGGATGAATGCTTTGTGCTAAGGGAAGGGACAGAAGAGTAATAGAGTACTTCCTTCAATCTCAAAAAATCTTTTATAACTATGCTAACCCCATTCATGATGGAACCCCTGTGATTTAAATCATCTCTCAAAGTCCACACTTCTCAATACTGTTGCATTGGGGATTAAGTTTCAAAATGAGTTTTGGAAGAGACACCATCATTTAAACTATAGCAGAGACAAATTCCCTCACTCTGTAAATGAAGAAAGTAAAGCTTGTGGTGATCATGACTTGCCTATGATCACCAAAAGGTAATAACAGCTACAATTAAACCCCCAGATTCTCACTTCCATTTCAGTCCTCTTTCTATCCTACTATGCCTTCTCTTATAAACCTACTCTTTACATCTCATTAAATAATTATTTATTCTCCATGCTTGGTGGATCACACCTGTAATCCTAGCTATTGTAATAGGCAAGCAGGTCAGGGAAGAGGGAAGAGGTCAGGAGGATTGTGCTAAGGCCAGCCTGAGCAAACAAGGACAAGAGACCTCATCTCAACCAATATCTGGTTCCATGCCAGCTCAGGCATAAATGGAGAACTTATCTCAAAAATAATCAAAGCAATCTAGGTGCCAGTGGCTAATGTCTGTAATCCTAGCTACTTAGGAGGTAGAGATCAGGAGGATTGTGGTTCAAGGCCACCCTGGGCAAATAGTTTGAGAGACCCTATATTGAAAATACCTAACACAAAAAAAAGGGCTGGCAGAGTGGCTCAAGTGGTAGAGTGCCTACCTAGTAAGCATGAGGCCTGAGTTCAAACTTCAGTACTGTCAAAAAAAAAAAAAAAGTCTGGGGGCATGGCTCATGTGGCAGTGTACCTACCTAGCAAGCTTAAGGCCCTGAATATAACCCCCTGTATCTTAAAAAAGAAAAAGAAAAAAATGTTCATTTGAAGCTTACTCTTTTCATCTCTATGAAAAGAGAAAAAGTTCCTTTTTGTTTGCTTTTGTTTTGAGACAGGGTCTCATTATGTAGCCAGGCTGGCCTGGAGCTTACTATGTAGCTCAGCCTGGCTTTGAACTTACGATCCTCCTATCTCAATCTGCTGAGTGCTGAGATCACAGGAATATGTCACCCATACATGGTGAGAGGAAATAGTTGTTAGCTTTTGATTTGTGAATAAGAAAAGTAGATTAAATAGCTGATAAATGACTGTACATTATAAATAGCCAATAATTACTGTGTGACAAACCAATCATTGGAACTCCTTACCACTTTGGTACTTGTGGCCAGCCTACTCCTACAATAGTATACTAATTATAGTGACTTAGCCTGTGGGCTCTGGAGTCAGGCTGTCTCTAAATTGAAATCCAAGCAGTATGACTTTGGGCAAATATTTAAACTCTTTATATTATATTTCAATTTCATCATCTGCTGAATGAAAATAATAATGGGATCTATCCTTACTTGTGAGGATGAAGCAGGAATATTGAGAGTTCAAGGCCAGTCTTGGCAATAGCAAGATTCTGTCTTTAAAAGATATAATAATAATAGTATCTGCTCTATGTTTATTGAGAGGATTAAATTACTATAGAATGTGCCTAGCGTAGTACTTGGCCTGTTGCAAATAGTCAGATGTTAACTGCTGTGCTATTTTACTATTGATGATTGTTATCTTTGCTACTATTTTCACTAAGAACTTCTCCAAGAGACCATATTAACTCATTACCACATCTTACACATTGAGGTTTGATTTCCTCTGGTTTCTCTTTACCATTCACAGACCTATGGACTTAACTAGCTTGAAGAGAAATCTCTCTAAGGGACGGATTCGCACCATGGCCCAGTTCCAGCGGGACCTGATGTTAATGTTCCAAAATGCTGTGATGTACAATGACTCTGATCATCATGTATACCATATGGCTGTGGAGATGCAGAGAGAAGTCTTGGAGCAGATTCAGGTACTATAGAGAGAAAGTGTGGAGAAAAAGGAATGCAATGCAGAGTCTGGAATCTGATTTCAGAAAGTCTATGAAAATAAAGGTGATGTTGTGGTGACCTGTGTTCCAGAGTTTTATCTTCAGACATCATTGAAGAGCCTTAAGAATTGATGTTGTACTCTCTGATTTAAAAAACTCTGAGCCTTAATATAGGTCCAGCTTTAATACACAGTGAAATGAGGTAGTCAATGAAGACAGATAGCAAGAGAGTTGGGGAAGGACAGTAATGGGAGCTTCTGCTTCCAGAGCTTCAAGTTGAAGGATTAAAAAATGCAAATCAGCTATGGAGTCACTCCAGTTTTTTTTTGGTTGCTGCATCTGTTGATACTAATGTATGTTCACACTTTCCCATCTTTAGGGGTTTGAAATAGTATTTTCGCCAAACATTTTAAGATCTCTTTTCTGGAAAGCATCATACTTCAAAGGAAAAAGTGTAGTCTTATCTATTTGCCAAAAAAGAAATAAAATTGTATTCAATCCTCTGGGGTGCTTAAGATTCATAGCTTGCTATCTGTGCCTTGCCCCTGTAGGTGCTGAGTATTTGGTTAGACAAAAGAAGAGACTTAAGTACTCTGGAATGAGTACCAGCCAGCCCAGTGGATGATGGAAACCTGTTTTGTTAGCCTGGAGCTGCTATCCTGACCCTTTCTGGAGTTTAGACCTCTCCTGGAGACTCTGACCAGAGACCATCCCAGGGCTTGTTTATCACTTCTCTATTGTCTTTTCTAATAAGAGTAAAGTCTTACTTACAACCAATGAATGAAAGGTGCTTGTGGATCTAATATTTTTTCAAAAGATTTGGATTTATGTCCTAAGTATTACTCACATTTTTGTTCCATAGGCTTAGAAATAATTAGATTAAACCTTTTACTTCTGCTCTATAAATAAATATTTCATAAACTGAAGATTGCTTTTTTGTTTGTTTGAGACAGGGTCTGACTATGTAGGCCAGGTGGCCTTAAACTTGCCATCCTCTTGCCTCTACCTCCTGAGTGATGGGATTACCGGCCACAGGAGTATGCTGTCATGCACTGTGAAAATTCCTTTTTTTGGTGGTGGTGGTACTGGGTGTGAACTCTGGGGTTCACACTTACAAGGCAGGCTCTCTAGCACTTGAGCCATGCTCCCAGCCCCAAAGATTGCTTTTTTTTTTTTTTGGCAGTACTGGGGTTTGAATTCAAGGCCTCACTCTTGCTAGGCAGATGTTTTACCACTTAAACCACTACACCAGCCCTTTTTTTTAGAGATATGGGTATTTTAGAGATAGGGTCTTGGAAACTATTTCCACAGGCTGGCTTTAGATTTGATCCTCCAGTTTTCTGCTTCCACAGTAGCTAGTTCTACAGGCCTGAGCCACCGTCCCCTGGCTCAAAGATTGCTTTCTAATGATTGCAGAACCTGGGAATAAAGGGTGAAACAAGGACGATACTTGGCTAGAGTCTTTTTTCATATACTGTCTGGAAGGGGATGGGGTGGATTGAGGGCAGTGTCTGATTTGTCTCATTTATAAAGTAAGGATAGTTGAATCATCCTTCAAATGGGCAGGAGAATGAGATAAGATAAATTCTGAGGAAAATGGCTAGTGTTCTAAGATTCACAAAGAGTAAAAACAGCTGTCTTTGACTTCCTTCCCTGGTTAAAACAAATAGGTCAGCAGTTGTGAAAAAAAACCTTACTAGGATTGGCCCTGTGCAGCCACCATAGGGAAACAAACTTCAGGTCTCCTAGCAACAGCTTGTGATCACACTTGAGCGGCAGGCACACAGGTGAGTGCTCAGAAGATCTGAAGAGTGCCAAAAAGGACCTAGAGACCCTGCCTTCCATTCTGGCCTAACTATACGAAGTGTGATCCCTTCAGGGTGGGGTCTCTTCACTATGGCAGCTGGCTAAGGTCGCTCCCCTGCCACTGGAGTGGTGCGCAATGTTGCAGAACAGGCTTATTCCCTAAGTCCCACAGTGCACTTTCCCCCATCCCCCATGCTGTCTGCTTAAGTCCTGGGCCTTTGAATCTCCCCTAGTCTTCTTAATTCCTTGATCCTCCCTGCCTTGGTGAAAGCAAGTATGGCTTGGGCACTGTAAAAAATCGCATTATTGCTGAGAGCCGGTGACACTCTTGTATCCTAACTATTCTGGAGGCAGGTATCACGAGGATCACGGTTTAAGGCCAGCCCTGTAAAAAAGGGATACCCTATCTCAAAAATACCCAACCCAAAAAAGGGCTGGCAGAGTGGCTCAAGTGCTAGAGCCCTTGCCTACCAGGCATGAGACCCTAAGTTTAAACTCCTGTACTAAAAAAAAAAAAAAGTTGCTACTTTTTTGGGCCAAGGGGAACTTTGGGGGAAGAGAAAGGCCTCTTGCTTGGGCCAAGGGGGACTTTGGGGGAAACAGAAGGTCTCTTGCTTGCTAGGCGGGTTCTCTACCTCAGCCCTAAAATTGTATTATTAAGGCATTACTTGTAGAAAAACATCCAACAGTTTTTACCTTCATAAATTAATAATACTGCTATTCTTAATCACAATTACATTGAATTTGGGATGGGGGTGGGGGGGTGCATATCATTGCAGTTGATGCTTGATAAGAAACTTAAATTGTACCTGAAAAAGCCAGAATGGAGATGAAAATGCCCCCACCGCAGATATATGTAGAAAAAACTCTGGCCATTATCAAACCAGATATTGTTGACAAAGAGGAGGAGATACAAGATATTATTCTCAGATCTGGATTCACCATTGTTCAGGTAACTTCTGGGCATGATTATGCCTTTTTATCTGTTTATCTGTACCCCCTCTTTTTTAATGTTTATGGAAATGTGCTCACCCATTTAGCCTTAAATTTAGATTTTTCTAAATATAAAAGTCATATGTTATAGTTTTTCACACTTCAAAAGGATATAGAATGAATATGAGAAATCTTTTCCTTCCCCTGTCTTCTCCCACCCCAAGTCCCAGTCTAGAGAGAGGCAACCACTTACCAATTTCTGTTCTTCCAGGAGTTTTCTATGCATTCACAATCATTTTCCCATAAAAGAGGTACTTGCTCCCCTTGATCCCTTTACAAATTCCCTTAGATAGCACTGCAAATCATTACATCCGAATATCTTATCCTTTCTAACTTCTGTGTGATACTTTCATGCACAATTTATTTACTTGTCTAAAGACTTTTAGTTATTATAAATATTTATATTTTAAGCCTTATATTTGCTCTGCAGTTGATTAACATTGCCATTCTAGAGACTTGAAAATGAATATAAAAAGTGTACAAGCTGTCTGTCTTGGTGGCTCTTGACTGTTATCCCATCTACTCCAGAGACAGAGATTGGGAGAACTACAGTTCTAGGCCAGCGGGTAAAAACATGACAGCCTACCTGAAAAATAAAGCAAAAAAGGTTAAAAGCCAGAGATGGTGGAGTAAGCCTGTAATCCCAGCACTTGGGTGACTGAGGCTGCAGGATATCTTTTGAGGCCAGCCTGGGCTACATAGTGAGAACTTGCCTCAAAAAAATAAAAAGGATTAAGATTATCAATAGAATTGAATATTTTTAATTTTCCTTTTTTTGTACTATCCTTATTTTAATTTCTACCTTTCATTCTGTTATATTTATACAGTGACTAAAAATAAAAGGAAAAACTTCAGTCATCAGGAAAAATATGTGATTTCAGTTGACCATCCAAGGATAGATGGAGTCAAAAGGGATGGTACAAGAAAGTGCAAGGAAATATTTAATATAATTAAAAGATTTAGTTGTTGTTTTTTTTGATGTTGTTGGTTTTTTGGAGGCACTGGGGTTTGAACTTAGGGCCTCATACTTGCTAGGCAGGTACTGTACTGCTTGAGTCACTCCACCAGCTAATTAAAAGATTTAGGCTGCCAAAGTGGCTCAAGTGGTAGAGCACCTTCCTAGTGAGTATGAGGTCCTGAGTTCAAACCCTAGTACTGCCAAACAAATAAAAAGATTCAGCTAAACACAAATTTTAAATAAATACAGTTAGGAAAACTAGGTAGCCACTAAAAACACAAAAACAAAAAAACCCTTCAGGGCTTTGTCAATTGCTAGGCAAGCACTCTCCCACTTGACCTAATTCTTCCAAAAGAAACTGATATCTAAATATTTAAAAATTAAATCACATAGGGAGATAGCACTGGGGGTATAATGTAGTGATAGAGTACATATAGATTCCATGAGGCTCTGAGTTAAAAAAAAATCATGTAATTTCTAGAAGAAATGATGGATAGATTTCTTTTTACCCATAGAATAGAATAACGCAGGTACTGGTGGCTCACACCTGTAGTCCTAGCTACTCAGAAGGCAGAGATCAGTAGGATTGTGGTTCAAAGATGTCTAGACAAATAAATAGTAGGTGAGACCCTATCTCGAAAAAACCCAATACGAAACAGGGCTGGTGGAGTAGGCCCTGAGTTCAAACCCCAGTGCTGCAAAAAAAAAAAAAAAAAAGCCTTTTTTTACTATGACTTAAAGTCTAAGAACCATAAAAGATTGGTAAGATTATATAATAAACATAAAAAGTTTCTGCATAATCAATAAATAACATAAGCAAAGGATAAATGACAAACTTGGGAAAAAGATTTGTAGTTCATAGATGCAGGGCTAATCTCTCCTAAAATACAAAAAATTCTGAGCCAAGCATCTGTAATCTTAGCTATTCAGGAGGCAGAGATCAGGAGGACTGTGGTTCGAAGCCAGCCTAAAAAAAAGTTTGAGAGACGCTGTTTCAAAAAAAACCCATCACAGAAAGGGCTGATAGAATGGCTCAAGGTGTAGACCCTAAGTTCAAACCCCCATACAGTGAAAAAAAAAAAAAAAATCTGAGATAACTTTTTTTAAAAAAATTAATGGAGGAGTTAGGTTAGTTCAGGTAGAGTGCTTGCCTAGCAATCTTTTTCTTTTCTCTCTCTCTCTCTCTCTCTTTCCTCCCTCCCTCCTTTCCTCCTTCCTTCCTATATATATATATATATTTTGCAGTACTGGGGCTTGAACACAGGGCCTACAGCTTGAGCCACTCTACCAGCCATTTTTTATGAAGGGTTTTTTCTTGAACTGTTTGGCCAGGCTGGCTTTCAACCATGATCCTCCTGATCACATGATCCTTCTTGAGTTGCCAGGATTACAGGTGTGAGTCACTAGAGCCCAGTTTTGCCTAGCAATCTTGAGGCCTTGAGTTCAAGCCCCAGTACAGTGGGGAAAAAAAAGAAAGAAAGAAAGAAAGAAAAAGAAAGATGAAAGTAGAAAAATAGGCAGAACAAATGGAAAGTCATAGAAAAAGAGTTGATACATAGGTATAATCCCAGCACTATTGAAGTTGAGGTAAAAGAATCCTGAGATTGAGGCCAGCCTAGGCTATATATTGAAACCCCATCACAAAAACAAAACAAGTAAATAAGTAAATGAAAGTGTTGGGAGGTGTGGTTCACTGCCTAGCAAGTGTGAGGCCCTGAGTTCAACCTACATTACTGCAAAAAATTTGTTCTGCATGTTACTGAGGTGGTAGTAACTTATGTATTTGTCAAAATTCCTTATAATTGTAAGTAATAAACCACACCTCCAATCCATTTTGCTCTGGTTATTTTCTAGATGGCATCGAATGAACTATTTGCCTGGGCTGGCCTTAAACCTTGAGCCTCCTGATCTCAGCCTCCCAAGTAGCTAGGATTGAAGGAATTAGCCACCAGCACCTGGCTAAGAATATTTTTTTAAAAAAACTGAAAATAGTGCATGTCACACCCCTTATAGAAGGGAAAGCTGGCAATTATCTACCAATGTTATAGATACATTTATCATTTGATCCAGCAGTCCTACTTCTGGAAATCCCTCTTATAGAAGTCTTTGTATTAATATCAAATGACATATATGTAGGTTATTTTTTACAGATAACAATGCTTGTGTTAGCAAAAGATTAAAAACTATTGTTTACTGGGAGATTGTTTATAAATAAACCTTGTCAAACCTACCAAACCTAACACTGTAATGAGCAACTAATTGTATTTGTTTGTTTGTTTGTTTGTGGTATTGGAGCTTGAACTCAGGCCCTACACCTTGAGCTACTCCACCAGCCTTTTTTTGTGATGGGTTTTTTTGAGATAGGGTCTCATGGACTATTTGCCCAGGCTGGCTTCTAACTGTGATCTTCCTGATCTCTGCCTCCTGAGTAGGTATGAGTCACTGGTGCCCAGCACCTGGCTTAAGTTTTTATAAGGTCATATTTTAAAAAGAATTAATAACAAACTTAATAATTAAGTAGCAAGTGTTAATTATAAACTTAAAATTAGTGTAAATGTATGTAACAGTTTCCCTAGTCAGCAATGAATTTCAGACCAAAGGTAGCCATGGCTTATTGCATGCTGCTGCTACTACTGCAGCTACATTTTTTTTTTTTTGCTTTAATTGTGGCAAAATATAAATAACAAAATTTGCAATGTTAAATACTTTTAAAGGTATAATTCAGTCTCATTAAATACATTAAATAAATTCACACTGTTGTGCAACTATCACCCTATCCATCTCTAGAACTTTTTCATGTCAAACTGAAGCTATGTCCTCATTAAAAACAATTCTGTTTCCCTCTTCCCCTTATCCCTGTAACCACTATTCTGTTTCTGTCTCTAGAAATTGGACTGTGACAGTTATTTAATATAAATGAAATCACACAATATCTGTTCTTTCATACTTTATATTCATAAAAATTGTAGTTGTGAGTCCATTGAACTTGAAATTTTCTTGTCCCATCTAGGGAAAACCTTCTGAAAAATGATAAATCGTTTCAGTAGATGGCAGTCTTTGCTTTGTTTCACACTAAGAATTTGTTTCTGATAGTATTTGATTTCACTGCTTATTTTTGTCAACCTAATTTCAAAAATTTCATCTGATTTAATTTTAAAGTTATCAGTGGAATCACTGATTTAGTATCAACTTTAGTTAAATATTAACCCTTAATTTAAAAAATTATGCTAAAAAGAAAAAGTAAAAAAGTTATCAAAAATGCTGGCAGCATGGCTCAAGTGGTAGAACACTGCCTAGCAAGTAATTCAAACCCCAGTATACCAAAGAAAAAAGAAAGAAAAAGCAAAAAAAAGTAACATTCTGATGCATCAGCTAGCATATCTGCAGAATGAAGAAGGTACGATGTAGCCCAGATTGGCCTCAAACTTGGGATCCTCCTGTTAGGATTGTAAGCGTGTGCCACTACGTGCAGCTGTCTCTAAACATTAGACCTGGGAGGTAAACCAAAAATCTACCAACACCCCTTATAAATAGTTCACAAAAACAACCTGTGAGTACAACACCTAGAGAAAGATTAAGGGAAATAAGATCTTCACTTAATTCCTGTTGTAGTGTGGTAAGACATCTTTTTTTTTTTGGTAAGACTGGGGTTCAAACTCAGGCTTCTTGTTTACAAAGCAAGTGCTATACAGGTTGGCCATACCTTCAGTCCATTTTACTCTGGTTATTTTATAGATGGGGTCTTGAGAACTATTTGTGCAGACTGGTCTCAAACAACAGTTCTCCTGATCTTAGCCTCCCAAGTAGCTAGGACTACAGGCATGAGCCCCCAGTGCCAGGCTATGGTAAGACATCTTAATGTAGAAAATGAAGTAAATAATCAAACCTTTTCAAATAAACCAGCATCTCAAAGAGAAGAAAACTGCAACTTCAAAAATGTTTTAAACACATTGAATCTGAAGAGAACACATATTTGAAAAGTACCAAGCTGGGAATGGTAG